GTGAACATTCATTTTGAGTTCACATAACCTATCCCTGTCCCCCACCTAACCTACGCAGTCGCATGAACAGTTGGCACACGAAGGATGAAGACTGCTCACTTAGCTAGACTTTGCCCTTGGTATGCATGATTTGGCCTAGCGTTGTGACCACTGCTCGGCGTGCGAAACTTACTAAAAAGCCCCGCGACCCTAGGGACTCTTCGGATGCAACGTATTTCATCATCTATGAGCAGGCGTACTCGACATTTGGCTAGTGAATTTAGCGGATAGTCATGCGACGTCTCAGCATGTCACGCGATTGCCTATCTTTTTCAATCGAGCCATTTCCTTCGATCATGTACTAAATATTAATAAGACATAATTCGCCACAGGATGAATATGAAAATACTAGTGCGCCCATTCGATGAAATATAAATGAATTTGCGTGACTTGGAAATCAATCGAATGCACACTAACAAGGCAACCGTGCCCGAGTTTTGCTATATATATGTAGCCAGTTGGAAATATTATCCGCCTAAAATCAGCACAATGCCATGTGTGACTTAGGATTGCGATACAGAATGGTTGTCGACAAAAAACCAGTGAAACCGAGATGGTCACTTCTAGCTTATCGGAATTCGTCAGCCAACCATACCCCTGTCCCAAGACAAAGCGGGAGGGACATGTTCCGTGCCGCAACCTGGTCGGCTACCTACTGCCCCGCGCTATTAGGGACTATGTTCCATGGTAATCGATAGTGCTATCCTATCCACACAATAGCTTATACCTAAAATGATTTCTAGGTAGTTAAGTTAGTGGCCCTCGGGTTTTGGCGCAGAGTGCAAATGAAAATTAAGCTTTCACCGCATCGAGGAAGAGAATTCAAAAAGAAAGGTTGAAGTTGGACATCGTGAAACGCGTAACGACTCCATCTGAAAGTTCGAGATGGCGGGCATGACAATCCGGCGACCCACCCATAAAAAGTGAGAGGGCAAGAGAGCGCTTTCGGGGGCGGGTTTTTATTGTTTTCTTTGCAGGTACTGAGCTTGAGAGAAGGGGTGTGAGACGAAAAATAAGCTGTGGACATGAAGACAACTGACCATGCAAAAACCACCGAAAGGGGAGGGGGGAAGATACGGGTGGCATAAAATTTAATGGACAAACCAGACATAAGGAAAATGCTTATCAAGCAGAAAAGTTGAACATTACCTAAACGTGACCAAATGTGCGTATGCCTTGTTACTTAAGAGAATAGAGGTAGAAATTGAACGTGCATTGAGAAGTAAAACGGTCGAAAGTCTGGTTCAGCAAAAACAAGGACGCTGGAGAAGGCAGCTGGAGCGAAAACAGACAAGTATATATGCTAAACATCAAAAATAGACACTAGAAAGGGCAGAGATCGCGTTTTTGTGGTATGACAGCCTGAGAGCCGGATTTTTAATGAAATCCTTTGCTGCTATTAGAAGATTGCAAGCATGCGCTTCCCCGAATCAAGTCACACATATAAAGAAAGGAAGAAGACTACAAACCTAGCGAGACACGCATGTTGCGGGAGGTGAAAATATCGGTTTTGATAGTACGCAGGTACGGAGGGGATATACTACTCCCGCTCTCACACGCGCGTACCTATGCCCTGCACTTGCGAGCCAGTCTGCCAGAAGCGGCGGCAGTGGCGACAGCGAACTGATCTCTGCCACTAGTGTCAGGAGTAGCGCCGCCGAGACGAGAGACCTGGGGTCGCTGGTACGCTCGAGAGGTCATGACGCCGCCATAGAGGCATTTTGTTCGTTGGCGGTCCACACCCAGAGTCGAGATGTGCCGACTGCGAGAGTTGAGGTGGTGCGCCCGGTTGTGCCGACAGGAATCGAAGCTGCCGCTAGCTTCACGGCTTTCTAGGGTCAAGGACTTGAGCAAACTGATTGCACGAGCCCTTTGAGCCAGGGCGGCAGCTGTCGCCGCATTATGCAGCACGCTTCCAACCGTCACTTGGTTGCTGGCAGCGGCCGCGGTGGACCTCTCGGCGGCGCAGCTGCTGGTGGAAGAGGAAGGCTGTCCGCAGCGAGTGGCAGTGCCCCGACGTTTGCGCCGGCGGGCAGTGGAGGGGGGCTGATGGGATGGCGAGGACGGGATGTCACCCGCACGGGCGGCTACTGGATCGTCCGCCTCGACGGGAGGTGGCCGGGCGGCCGCGGTCTCACCCGTTTCGTCGGGAACCAGGATGGACCAATCGGAGGCTGCGATCATAAAAGAACATGAAAACTACTAATAAGCAGTTCAGTACTGGACAACAAATGGATAACATGTCCCACATACGTGGCCGAGCAGAAGGTGCACATTGATAGGTGAGAATAGATTAAAGCTTCGTCCGTTACCAAGAGACGATCTGACGTTGATCTGATCATGTATTAAATTTTCTGGAGATGACCACAGGTGATGTGGACCAAATCTTCCAAACTACTGAATCCTGGTCAAAAATCCCACAGGCGGCCCCCAGTAGCAAGAGGCGCTGCATAAAGTACGAGCACAGTATATCCTCAGTAGACCTGGCTGAAGTTTGGTGGTGGCCGCCATACACGGTCCGTGACCTTTTGGGCCTTGCTTTGAACGCACAGTGGTAAACTCCGGAGGTACAGACAACTGTCGTATGAGTACCAATGAGAAGTAGTAAAACGAAAAGGAGATAAGAAAATTGTTAAGCATGAGAAAGACTTGAATGAGACAACAGTAAGATTTGACTAAGCCAAACAGCTGAGAAATAAGGTGGTTCAATATGAGCGGATTCAGGCATAATGAAGTCACCTAGGAGGGGGGAACAAACAGAGCAGTCTAAACAAAAGGTGTTCTCGGTATTTTGAAAAAAAAAACTTGACATTTTCGGAAATTGTTTTTGTAACAAATAAAATTAGAAAATTCGTTCTTATTCATGAAAACATACGACTTAAGCGGCGATCCTTGGTGAGTGTAACTGTCCCACAAAACGATCAAACAAACGACATGTGCTTTTCGTAGAAATGATCCACTTTATTCAAACATCGAAAATCAGTGGGGGAATTACAGTAAGTGAATAATTACTTGTCCCCAGTATGACTTACAGATAACGCTGGAAAAAATGCATAAACAAATACCAGCATCCTATAGATTATGTTCATGCCAGTATTACAGCATTACTTAAGTAATCTCTGTATGAAGGCATACTTAGGGACTTCAGTCAAGGGTCCGTGAGTTTCAAATAGTTTCAGTAAAGATAGAACGAATTTTACGTGAGCAGGCCTGCCGTTAAGTGGGGTGTCCGCAATAAAACTGGCTGTTTCATTGGCAGGTTGAGGCTGCAGGGATTTGGGAGAGGGAGGGGCGTTTACCAATACATGCTTATTGCACGTGCCACCACGTTTTGTCTTGGGGCTCAATCGAGGGCCGTCGCAGGTTCAACAAAGGTCTTATTCCAACAAAGGCTAATAAGCCAAACATAGTCACCGCAGCCTCCCTTTTCTTTGTCAACATGTTTTTCCCGAATCAAACAACTTCGCGGTCTTTACGACGGTCGTGATTAAGCCACCCCAACTTCTGCACAGGCAGATAGAGGGTATATCAAGCAGTGTCTTCGACACCAACGTCTTAAAATCTTTACTAGCCGACAAGTGGTGAGGAATTAAAGATATTCAGCGCCCTCGTCTCGCAGATACCATGATGTACACAAAAGTGCGGCAAAAGTCGTGACTACGCGGAATTCCTTCTCCACTGTTACCATTTTAAGAACACAAAAAGAACAATAAATGCAGAAAGCTGGATCTACTCGAAGCAAAACCATGCCTGTTAAGACCGTACGCGACCTAGAAACTTTCTACGTCTAAGAACAGGCAGGTCGATTTCGGAACCAAGTACAAATAGATTGAAACCGGTTAAGTTACCCATATAAAGCAGTGTGAGTCGGCCCGTATGGGGCTTTGAGCTAACGTGACAGTTAAACCGCCGATTTCAACGATGTCCACAGAGTGCTCCGCAGCAGGGTGAGAGCAGGGACAAAGACGCGTATGAATTAGTTTAATGATGACAGACTTTCGCCGCATCAACCGCACTCTCACCTCCGTCACCTGGAACAGGTGTCATTGCCAAGTCAAGAAGACCGAAAGCGAGAGAGGACGCAGGTGGCTGTCACGGCGAAAACTCGCACCTAGGCGTACCATCACAGCCCCTGGTCCAGAACAGACTGACAAGGAGTTTATACCAAAACAAGATTAAGGGCGGCTCAAGTCTCAATTGGTGCGGCGCAAGCTTGCGACTGGGCGTGACAAAAAACTCCGAGTATTGGCATTTAATATAGATGTGCGCTCCCCGTAACGCCTGCCAGACTCCGATCCAGCTCTTGTGTTGGTCCAGCCCGTTTTAAAGGCAATCCAGCTAAAATAGTGCTTCCTAGACAGCTTTCAGAGCACAATTATCTGACTTGCATCTATGGGCTAGGAAGATCTGTTGGCAAGGGATCAGTTAGGGAAAACCAATCAGTGAGCGACGGTAGTACTGCCTCGATGTACGGACAGCACGAATCGGGATGTCATCCATGCAGCTAAACAGGCCTGCACAGCTGGCATACAGCTTAAAACAAACAGGAAATTACAGGCCACTATCTCCTAACTGACAAAGTGCCTGGTGCTAAGTGAGTTGGCGCAACTCGAACGCAGTCTACAGCATCTAGGGGGGACGTCCTCTGATAAAAGTCATCTCCCTTGAAAAAAGAAACAGAAGAACCGGAAACTCTTCCGTGTAAGTACCATAATCAAAATAATCAGGATCGATAACGGTTCCCTCAATGGAACGATTGATATCTAGAATGGCTTTATCACATTCTTGAGAAAGTTTGCCGTCTAATGGGACAAAGTCCTCGATAGACACTCCTTGAAGATTTCACATTAAGTACGAAAGATCTACTTTCTCTTTTTCCGCATAAATCACAACAAGGATGTCAAGTCCAAAATCATTACTTACGAAACTTGAAATTAGGACAGATGCCATGCTAACCCATGCGCTCCTGCTGGGAGATGAGCCATTTGTTCCCAATTCTACTACAGCAGCGCCTCCCTCGTTTGGAGGGTCAACAAACGAAATCGGATCTTTTAAATATAGATATTTACACCGTTTTTTTACAGCAACAATAATACCTTGCTCAGTAAACTGTCTCCACGGAGTACACTGAGGACAGGACTGAACGTGGTTTTTATCCCTTCGAATGTCCCACTTAAACGTCCAGAGTAGTTGTGAAGAAAGTGTCACATGCCGTCAAGTTCCCTGACGTGTTTCAAGTAAGTATCCTTCTTAAAATCGATGAGAATGTATTGCGTATGTAGTCATTCATTTTCACGTTGAATATAATATCAGCTACTCGCTACCTCCAATACAAGAAGACCGCGTTGCTCTTCTAAGTATCGTCCACTGGATTTTGTGGAAGCCTGTGAAATTGGGACAAACAACTAACGTCACCCTATCCTTCTTTTCTTTTAGCTTCTGGTCGCCTACGCATTTCCCTCCCCCAAGGCCGACGGCTAACGAAGCAAAAGCACATGAACAAACCAGCTGGACCCAGACGCCTCAGCTAATTTCGCCAATAGATCATGTTCGATTCCCAAATACAATTACAAGCCTTTTCTGGGTTTGAACTACCTGAACCATCCACTTTTGTTCTTCAAAGCTCGACCAAACCATATAACTAAGCTTCTAATAAGCGGGGCGCATGAACATTGGTTTTAAATGTTGAATGTATGGTCCCTCCAGAGGTAGCCCTGGTTTTTCTGACAACAGCTCTTCCTTAACAAGTTTCTTAACTGAACCATCAGGAGCATTACACTGATGGGTAGCGTGTCATACACTGGGTGGACCGACCTTTGGAGCTGAGTAACCATCTCCAACCTATAACAATTGCTTAAAAGCTTCTCCCTACCTTTATAAGGCATTGTACATTAAATTTTACGGCTGCAGAGGCGTATTATCAATTAAGTATGCATTTACGGGTGTGATTCATGTCACCTCCTTAACCCAATATTTACGGAATACCAGATTAATCGATGTAACGAACAAAAATGTAAGGTACTAGGTAGAGCTCCGATTACATAAACGAGTACAGTGCACTGTTACTTTGTGATTTTGACAAGCTCCACTAAAGGCGACGATTATCTGCAATCTTGGTCGCTGATTAAATGGGCTAATTTGGATCGCCACGAGAGTGCTAATTCGGTTAGCCAACTTGTTCCGCTTAATACGTTAAGTGAGATCGAAGAGACTAGCTCAGCCTGTGGGTCTCAAAGCAATAATGAGGAGCAAGAGAACTCCAGTACCATCTGACTTCGCGTCACCCTATAGGACGATGTACATATAAGCAGGCTCACAAAGGGGGGCGTCATGTCCTTGTCTGCAAGATACTTCCATGCCATTTATGGAAACAGAAGGATGAGACAAGGCATGAATGTACACTCATTAGAGCGCCCCTTGGTATTGAAAACATGCTCTCGTTTGCATCATAGGGCTCGCGCTCGCTCTACTGTGAAGCCGCTGACCGGGCGCGTGATGATGATCAGCCGAGTTGGCGTATGCAATATTGGCGTGGCAGAAAGACTATGAGCGGCCACTAGTCGCCCTGGTAACGCAAAGACAACATCACGCTTTAAGTCCTTAGCGGAGCCATCATCTTAGGAGGACGACTGGGTCAAAACCAAACTAAAGCAAGGCGCGTATGGAAGCTATGAGAAATGTGGGTTTTTGTGCGAACCTGTAGTGCTAGATTATGTCATAAGGCACTAACTAAAAAAAAGGGGGGAGGGGGTATTTGCGGTGGAGTTTAAAGAAAGGAATTGCTGGTGTCTAATCTGACTGGCAGAGCCAAACACTCAGGAGGCAAATGCCTGAATCTTTTTGAATTAGAGGTCTGGAGAGAGCCTACGTCATTTGCTATTAACAGCCAATTCGCATGAGCAAATTAAAACCCTGGAAGCGGCAAGACTTAAGCTTCAGAAACAGTTCTGCAGTCTCCACGCCTCAGGCCACCGATGGAATGGTTGGCTGTATCCTGACTTCCAGTTGTGACCGCATTCATAATGCCTAATTCAGCTGGTTCAAAGTTACACGTTGACCGCATCACAAATAATTTCCGTCCATTGTGGTCGGTTAAGTTTAGGCGATTAGTGACCACGCAAATCGTAGATGGTAGGACTAAACACATGCTCGAAGTCAGCTCTCACCACGCCTACCTATGTCTTCAGTTGTCGACCTCGATCCCACCAATAACCAGGGTAGGATTCGTGAGGAAGTCCAGGTCACCTTAGCCCTCAAGACGGCACAACACAAAGTCAACACATCAGTCAGAAGGGCGCAACTGACCTCTTGTGCCACCGACTTTCATAGTTGAAGACGATATTCGAGGTTAGTTCAATAGATAGTGTCCGGGCTCAAATACGTCCAGAAGGCGGGTGCCTTCTGAGTGCACGAGTCATATCTCGTATAGGTATAGGTGAATTGTCTTGATAGGGTATTTAGTATGCTCAAGTTTGGCATTGTGAGTAATCTTAAGCTGATTTCAGATGTTTGGACGGAGTCTAAGGAAGGCCGTATTCGTCTGACTGACTTAATATGTGACTTCTCCCCTATCCTACCCAAAAGGAAGGAATTTCGACCCAGGGTTGGCAGAAGATGTCAACTAGCGTAAGATTCTTATCGTTCAGCACAACCCGAGATATTTCCGACAGAGACTACTGAAGCAGGAGTCGTTGTTTTGGGTCAATTTAATTCTGGATCATCTTCAGTCATATCGCACCTGACATCGGCCCAGACCTTATAAACATGGGCCAAAATCTTTAGAAGTCTTTCTAGCGGAAAATGTACTAAACATAATATCGGGTTAAGTTGTAGGCGATAAGATGCAGACTTTCTGATGCGAAACTTTCAGCCAAGCGTACAGTAACCATGGGAAGATCAAGTATAGGGCACTTTATCATTTCGTCAAAAGTATTGACCGAGGTTGTCGAAACCGAACTTGGCGGGTCCCGCCCAGATTTCCATGTAAGCATTAGGGCCGAGTACTGCCGACTTTGATGAAATAACCGTGCAGTGTTCGCGCATGCAAATCTAACAGCAAAAGTAAATTTTGTAAGGACTCGACACAGATGGTAGTTAAAAGTTACGCGTTTAGCCGCTTTTCTGCTGCAAGCCGTAACTGCAAGGGGTTTGCATCTCCAGTGGGTTTCCCATAGTTGTATACGTGATATTTGGTGTCAATAAAATTAGCGAATAGCGCTCATTATTTCGTCAGGAACTAATGCATTAAGCTAGCGGAGAATTTCCCAGATCCCTACTACAGTATTATTCCAAAAACAGTAGCAGAAGTTCAGAGGCACCAGCTGCCAAGGCCACAGTAGTGAGTCAAGAACATCGACTGACTAACTTGCAATCGATGATTCGGAAGGATTCGCATAAGCTTAAGTCTGTTGTTTGCATCTCGACCGTCGGAGTACTATTTTAACACCAAGGGAGTGGTTGAAAGAAGCCGCTTGAATATTGTTTATGGTCGTAATTTCAGTGGGGTCGGCGGACTAAGAAGCTTCTAAAAAGACCATTGGTGTCAGAACCTAGATCTCAGCACCGAAGGTATACTCATTATTTAGGAAGTCGAGTATTTCGGAGCTAGCGTTCACTGCTTGACCATCTGCAACTCTTAAATAAGTCGAGCAGTCAGTAGTCGGCCTAATTATGGCGATGGAAGTATGGAACGTAGAGAACTGAAGGTCGATTTGCTCGTCAGTGTCGCAGTTCGAGCATCCGCTCGTATACTTCTCCTTGGCGATGCATACCAACACGTAACTTATCGGGAATTAGGAATAATCCCCCAGTTTGTTTACATACTAACATTTAGTGGGGACGTCTGGACCCCTTTCTAAAGTATCATAATGGCAATGAATGCTTAGAACTTGACGGATCCTAAAGACTATACCTGTCCAAAATGATCCTGTTTCCCACAGATGACATACAACAGCTCTTCGCACGAATGCGAATCTCACTGTGACTGACTGAGAAGTTAAGTGTGTTTGTCTGGTCCTCTGTTGGGTCGGATGGATAAGGCATATGAGCACTACAAAGACTCGTTTACCACTAAACCGGGCAATAAATGCTATAAAAGAGGCATTTAAAGTACTGGAAGAAGTTGCGAAGAAGTCTGGAAGACTACCAAATCGTTCTTACTTGCATGACTTCATATGGGATAGCCCCGTCTTATAAATCACCAGAACTCCAACTAACTGTGTGCGGAGTGATGCACAGACGGCTTTAACGTAGTATTAAGAAAGAAATATTGTGAAGAAGATTCACGGTGAATTTTTTAACTGGACTTACCTACGCTTGAGCTATCATCAGAATCCACCTCCTCGCCATCGCTATGAACGAGTTGCCACTTTTCCATGGTCGTTCGACAGTCAGTGAATCCGTAAAACTAAAGTAAGAATTTTAAATCATTTCTGTGAAAAATATGAAAAATGACTGGCAACAGCTAATATCTCCTAGATGCGCCAAAACACAAAGTCATAAATTCAGATGGGACCGAGGGGAGGCCTCCAAATGATAAGGCAGTGTAATTATGCGGCCGTTTAGGAGTTTTAAGGAACCGCCCGTAGACAAGATAGCAGACGGAAAAGAAGGGAAATTGGAAATGTCGGGAAGGATGAAAACACGAACGCAAAAAACACCTTTTGTGCCGAGACGTTACTGTTCAAGTAGGTACGCGCGAAGACGAGCTCTTATTACTGACTGACGACTGGGATCGCCATATAACGGCATTGAAGCAAACGTAGATTGCGTGATGTAACCAAAGATACGCTGTTGATACCCCATTGTAATAGCTCGTCAAATGGACATTCGGCGATTTCTTACGACGAAATAAACGCAAAGATTCAGGACAATAGAAGAGGATAGAAGATGACTACGTAGAAGGAAAAAACCGACCAGGCGATGACAAACAACAAAGACACTTCACATTCAGTAATGTAGAAGCAACGGGAATTGTGTCATCATACTAGGCGTTAGAGAGAATCGCGACGATGTCCCAGGCCAAATCATCCAAAAAAATCCTGAGGACAGTGTATCTCAATGTTGCCAGTCAATATAAATCGAGTGGTTAGGATCCTATCACAATGACAACTACTTCTACAACAATATCACAGAGAAAACTGGCGCCTAAAAATTGATGTGCAATGAGCCCTTCCGTGTACCGTTCACTAATGTGCCCTTACCTTTCGAACGACGTCAGTCAGTTCCTATGGCCAATAATAGGAACATTCAAGTGTACTGGTAGCCTGGACCACGACACAGAAGGCGACAGTGTCTTACTTTGGACATGAACTTCGCCAGTTTCGTACCTCTCCAACAAAAACGAAATCTAATCCGGTGTTTGGCACAAAGGGCTAGAAAAATTTGTTCAACAGATAGTATCAAGGAGGAATTTAGAAAAATCCAGGATCTGCTTCGGGAAAACGGGTATCCTGACAGGTTCATTGCAAATAACTTTGCCGAACGACCCGCAAAACCCACCAAACCGACCGTCGAAAAGAAAACGTTGTTCATCAAAGTCCCGTTTCATGGAGACGCTGCAAGTGAACTCCTAAGAAGACGCCTTGATCAAGCTGCCTCGGGAACCTTCCCAGCAGCAAGGGTTCGCATATCACTCTCTACTGACTCTATTTTACGCGGAGAAGGCAAGGATAGGCTGTCAGCTCAGACCGCCTCAATGTGCATCTACTCATACACTTGCTCCTGCGGAGCAGGTTACATTGGTCGTACGATTCAGCGCCTTTCCAAATGAATACGAGAGCACCTTCCTGCATGGCTGGCAAAAGGTGAAACCAGAAGAATAGGCAGCGCCATCCTTGCGCATGCAGCGGATTCAGGACATCGTATGGACCCCGCTGAAGCATTTCGTGTGATTTATAAGGTCCTCTCAAGCTACTGGGCCAGCGCCTGCTAGCGACAGCAGAAGCGACCACCATCAGGTTACGAAAACCGACACTATGCGCCCAGAAGAACCTCGTTCAGGCTCAGCGCTTACCGTGGTCAAAGGTTGACTAACCACATACAACTTTATCCACCCTTCCACTCTTGAAAAGCTTGCAATTTAAAACCTAACTTTTATCGATTTTTCACTCACTGAACCCCGTTCAATATAACTGTGCTGGCCTGACGAGAAGTTATCGAAAACAACGTTCGCTCGCCACAATTTCATCTTCAATTCGCTAAAATCAGTACTCTTAAGGTGTAAAATCTTAATATCGCCACCGAAGTCAGGGAAATCGCAGAGCAGTTATTGTGAAATCAGGTAAAAATAAATGTAGCAGGCTCGAATAAATGAGCTCCTTACAGGTCTTACTCCAGAAAAGACCGACGGAACAATGAAAACCGAAACGACCTTGAATCAGCTGATACAGGACGGCATACTATTGGTCGGCACCACTGACGTCACCGGACTTCAATAAGTAGAATATTAAAACAAGAGGGGTTGATCGCATTTTCCCACTTTGCTATGGATAAATCGACCTTCTTTCTTTTCTTGTGACCTAGCGCGCGAAGACTGACTGGGAGCGTTTGCAGAAAACTAACGACACGACGAGGGGTTTTTTGTCTCCTAACTGGATGCTCTCAAAAAGATCGAGATGTTTTGCTAACATCGTCGTTAACACTGAACGTGTCGTTTCGTCAGCAGTGAACTAGCTGTTCAAACACAGCCAGATGGATATTTCAGTGTTTTAATGGAATCAACAGAACTCTGCTTTTATTGTCCAATAATGGCAATGGATTTGAATTTTACACCATGAAGGCGTGCCCAAATAGGAGACACCGTGCATCGGTAGTAGGTCTCATTATGCAGATGACGGCTGTTCCTCGCCGTCCCTGACTGGCATTCGGCTCTTATATGTGGCTATCTGAAGCTAAGCTATGCCTGGCAGCCAAACCCAGATGACAACACAGACCGCCCAGCTAAACTAGATTAGGGTATCCGGTGTTGTGTGCGTCTCCACACCCGGCAATTCTGTTCTCACTCGCGTCTCTATTAATCTTGTTAGACTTCCCCCCCCCCATTCCATCAATTACCCCACTTATCGGTATAAACTTTCTTCCAAGAGGGCGACATGCAATATCACATGCGATCAAGACTACCTCGGGTCGCTCTACACCAGTCAAAGCCGTGACTCACAAAAGAGGCCGGCAGCTATCTTGGATGTCTAAGCAGCCCTAGTTATGGATACCACTGCCTGCCCCCTCACGGTGTGAGCGGTTGAAGAGGTGTTCTAAACAAACGCAGGGAAGTCACGTTATCTGCTAGTACACCGTGTCTCATAGATGCAAAACTCGTGGTAGAAACAACCAAATAAGCATCAACAACAACATTCGCACTCGCCGATCGCCTCCGCATTCTACTAGCTGCTAGAGTGAACCCGCCAAGTCGATCAAGAGCTGGCGCTCTACAACGTGGATAGCGCTGCTCCCAAAGAAACACGGCTCTCTGTGCAAGACCAACTGGAGAAGATGGGTGCCAACTGTACATTCTCATGCAGCGGTCGCCTACAGACAGAACGAGTGTCCTGTCATCCGTATAACATCAGAAACCGCCTTATTAGTCTGCTACGTGGAACCAAACTCTCCACCCTTTTTACTGCCTGTGCCCTAACCCTCAATGACCAGCTCCGTCGAAGCGAAGAATAAGTTCACGATTACATGTACGCCCTATTGACGACTGCAGCGAGGGCGGACAAGCTCGTTGTCTTTGGTGGTTCCATTGTCCTCGCTGGAAAAGACTGCAGTACACGGACGGCAGTGCCGATTTTTCATGGAATCTCCGGCTGAAACGACAACGGTATTCTCCTTCAGTGAAACTGCGTAGAACATCGCACTTCCTCCTGACTAAAACATTCTTCCGCATTCCGACGCTGAAAAGGCGACATAGATGCACTCCTGATTAAATGTGCCGGCGGCTGCTGAACTGCGTTCTCATTTAGGCGCACTATTGGTAGGACTTACTGGTGACCAGAGCTATCTTCGTCGCTGACGTCTGAAGGGATCACCGTTTTGTCAACCCTGAAATTAAACAAAACACTTTTTCGTATCAGTCAAGGTGAGCTACGTCCACACAACCAAAGGAACCACGCCTCTTCTCTTTCCCTTAGGAACAACATTACTGACGTAGAGATTGCTGATTAATCAGCGCTGGGTCGAGCACTTCAGATCGTCCTCAACGGCCTATCTCTAATTTAAAGTTCGCCAACGACAACTTCCTTAAGTGGAGACGAACGCCGTCCTGGACTTTCCACCCACGTCTAAAAAAATCAGGGCCGTGCGCCAACTCAAAAGCGGGAAAGCACCGGGATCCGACACGATCCCGGTAAAAATTTACAAGCAATGCGGCGTCCGGCTAGTGCATAAAATCACAACGATTTTCCAGTAGACATGGTGTTAAGGACTATTCTCTTAGTATTTCAAGGACACGACAACCTCTATTTCTAAAAACTAAACGGAAACCGGCAACTATGAAAACTACAGGGGCATCACGCTGTACAAAACTGTCCTGAGAGCCTTGGCATTCATCATATTTAACGTCTCAACTACAATCTTTGACAGGAAATTCTCCCGGATAACCACTTTTGCTTTGGAAGCCACCACGAAGTCACTGTTATCTAGCGAAAGTGGCCACCCGATTACTCAAATGAATATTATCTATCTACGATCTTCGCCGCCCGTCAGCTGCAAGAGAAATATCAGGAAATGCGGAACGCTGACCTCTTCGCTTCCGACCGCACCAACTTCAGGCTGGCCATCAGCATGGACAAAACGATTATCATGCATCAACCACCACCCACGCCTCGGATCAAGGTCAGCGGCACGGAACTGAAAACCATAGACAATTTCGCCTAGTTTAGCAGTATACCTTCACAATGCATCAACATCGACGACGAAGTGACGCTCCTGATCTTTAACGCCGGCCAGAACTTCGGCCGTCTGTAGAACTCAGTATAGAATCTCCACGGTCTCTAACTTAACAACAGCTCGAGATTTACATAGCTGTCGTCTTAACGACCCCAGTTTATGGCGCGACGACCTGGACAGTCTGCAAGAGACAGGCGCGGAACCGGAGTCCCCTCCACCTCAGTTGTCTCCGACAAATACTGTGGCCGAGATGGCAGGACAAGATCCAGGACACGGAAGCTTTGGAACGGACTGGAATCCTCAGCATCCACGCCGTGCTGAACCAACTACCACTATTATGAAGCGGTCATCTCGTGAGGATGGACGATGCTCGACTATCAAAGCAACTCTTTCACGGAGGTCTTGCTACGGATGCTGGCCGACAGAGAAGGCAGAGACGACGTTACAAATGCACCTTGGAGTGGATAAAAATCAACCCGAAATCTTGAGTAGACTCTGAACACAACCGACTGGTCTAGATTGGAGAAGTGAAGACTGGAGCAGCCACATATGAAGTCACTCGTATCACCACCGCCAAAGGCAAAAGGGAAGCAACGCTAGCATTCAACTCCTCATGATATGCTCGTTCTGACAACGAACATTACGTGCGCCGATCGACCTCTTCGGACACAGCGCACCAAAAAACTGACAACCTTAAATAATAATGATAATTTTATTTTATGGCAATTTACAGGCATCGTCAGGGAAGCATTAAACATAAATCCTGTCAGCAGTGAAAAAACTCCTGTGGAAAAGGAATAAAAATATAGTTGATGGTGGCTTTTATGGTTTGGAGTGTTCAGAAGAAAAAAAACTGCAGGCGGCAAACTTTCGACCGTCAAGAAGGGAGGGGCTGAACGGTATCGGAGATTATCAGTCGCAAATTTCTTTCATGAAGTCGGAGCTAGTCCAAACAGAGGCGCTGAAGAACAGCTGTCGCTGTTGGCCAAAGAAATTGTCCCTGGTGAGACCGGCCATAGTGGTCAGAGACCACAAAGGCCATCGCTACGGTAGAGTCAATCAGTGGATTCAGCACTCAAAATTTATGGGAGCTTTTCTGAATACAAAAATCGAGTGATAGTTCTCTTAAATAAAGGATAATTTTGCAGAGTTTTCACACTCATGAGTATCTTATTCCAAATAGCAATTGCATTTACAGAAAAGAACCGACGATATTGAACAGTACGTGCCAGAGGAAGAAATAAAAAGACCTCACGGTGTCTGTTACGTCGGAGATGGACATGATGTCTTAAAGTAGTGAGTGGGTTAAAGGTACGATTATATAAGAGTCTAAATAGCAAAAATAGTCCATTTTGTAATCTACGGAACCATAAAGGATCAAGGCCTGTAAGCCGGCAACGTTCTTGGTAAGACAAATAACGATGTTCCAGTGCTAAGACTCTCTTGGTAAAAAATGTTGAACGGATTCTATTTTCTTCCGCTCAGTAGCACGCATGAGGCTAAATAGAAACGAACAGTATCCCAGACCAGTTCTGACGTACATGTTATAAAGGCGCATTCTAATGTCACTAGTTTTAAAGTTTCGCAGGATAAACCCGGTCGTTCTACGTGCTTTAGAGACAATCAAGGCACAGTGCTCCGAAAGACTGAGGCTTCTGGAGTATGATACACCCAGATCCTTAATAACCCCACGCACATTTAGGGAGTGACCGTCAATGCTTAGTTGAGGTTAGTGGCCGTCGCCAACCACCATAACTGAGCATTTATGCCAAGAAAGAGAAAAACGCTATGTGCTGCGCCACTAGGCAAAGTCCTGTATGTCGCTCTTTAGAAGTTCAAGCACGGTGTCACCATCTGCTGGCATATATCGATAAGCAACTTTCAGATCATCGGCATACATGAAGGGCTAAAAGTTCTGAAATAAATCGGGTACATCATTAACGAAAAGGTAAAATAAAAGCGGGCCGAGTACACTACCCTAAATGACTCCACTCCTCACACGTGTGGGGTTGGAGATGGTATTGGAAATCTTAACTCGTTGTGTACGAGAGGCCAGGTAAGAGGACAATGCCTGTAAACTGGCATTTAATAAATTAAATTAATTCGTATTGACCCAACTGTTGGGTCAATAGGAATTATTCAAAATGCGAATTATTCAAATACGAATTATTCAAAATCTGCCAAAATATCAATAAATTAAATTAAATTAAATAAAAAAATTTAAAAGTTTACCACCTACTCCGAAAGAGGACAGTTTCAAGAGAAAAAGATCATGGCCAAGACGATCAAAAGCCTTCGTGCAATGGAAATACACTGTGTAAAGTGCAAAACCATTGTCCCTAGATTGGAGAACGTAGTCAAAGAAAGAGAGCTGACAGGTGTTACAAGACCGAGCTTTGAGGAATTCATGTTGAGCAGCACTCAGTAGGTTATTCTCTGTTAAGTGACTCAGCTTATCTTTGGTCAATGTCTATAAGATCTTCGAAACTGAGGGGAGGGTGTTTATTGGCCGAAAGTCATCAAATGACGTAGATTGGCCATGTTTAGGAATGGTCAAAATGTGTGATTCCTTCCACAAGGTAGGATAAGTTTCACTTTCAAGAGCTAGATTAAATATCTTGCATAAGAGGGACGGGGAAACCGTATTTGCATCGGCTTTTAAAATGCTTACTGGGACACCATCAGGCCCTGGACTATAAGATTGACGAAAACGCCGAATCGCAACAGTCACATCCCACAGAGTGAAAGTTATAGTTTCTAGAACTGCCCCGGTCAATGCCTGGATGGTCGGAATTAGAGTGGTTGAATCTTCAATAAACGTTTTGGACAGGAAAGCATTGTAGCTATCAGTGGCTAACTGGGCATCAACTGTAGGACTTCCAAGAGCGTCTCGGAGAGTGGGATGCTGCATCGTTCTTTGAGTTCGTACTTTTCGGGCGAAAAGTTTCGAGACATTAAAGGAACGGTTTTCAGTGAATTGAACCTTTTCGACTAGCCATTTTTCTTCAGGCAATGTCATAGCCCGCTCAAAAATATCACAGATTAAGAGCAGAACAGAAACGTCGTTCTGAAGATGCAATAGACGAGAAAGTCTGCGCAACTTGCGACGAAAGGGTGAGGGTAGGAACACTTAATCCCCCACATTAATTATTTTCTTACGGGGGACAAAACGAGAAATAAGCGGATCCAAAATTTCGTACAGTTTCGCAGTGCAAACATTTACATCCGTACTAAGGAAGAAATCAGTCCAGTCGTAGGAATTTAGGTGTGCGTGTTGATCGGTCGAGCGAGTTGATTGGAAATTGCGGAAAAAGCCATACTTTGGGGACAACGTTTTGTCAGCCTCGAGTTCCAACGTTGAAGCCACTATGTCATGGTCTCAGTCCCTGAGTGGGCCTAGGGATGACACTGACGATGGCATGTAGCCTCTACAGAAAACTAGGCCAAACATGCTTGATCCTCGGGTGGGAAAGTCGACAACCTGAGTCCACATCTGAACATTCACAGCCTCAAGAAACTCATCGAACCTTCAGGGGCCTGAAGGCGGAGACCAGCGGACGTCAGGGAGATTAAAGTCATCCGCAATCAATTGATACTTAAAGCTTAAGTCGGCCTGTGAGAGTAAACGATCAAAATTTTCATTGGCGTTGGGAGGGCGATAAACACAGCCAACGAGTAAGGAAAACTTATTTTTTAGTAAAACCTGGATCCAGCAGCCGCCTTCTACTGCGGAACACTGCGGGAGGTCAAGCGGCAAAAATTTAAGTGTTTGCTTAAATTCGACGCAACTGCCTCCACCACGGCTGTCTTGACGATCATTTCGGATGCAAGTATAGCCTAGAAGAGGGAGTTCGGAGTCAGCTACGGAAGCTGATGCCCACGTCTCAGTTACTAAAACAATATCTGGACGATGGACGAACACCAGAGCCTGAAACAAAGGCATCTTATTTAGCAAGGATCTTGCGTTTAGAACAAAAAGTTTCAGGGGAGAGACTGTTTGTTTCTGAGGGAGGTGGGCTACGTTGTCCATCGCTTTGCTGCCCATGGAGCAAACGGTCCGGATGTACCCATCCGGTTCTGCAAAAAATTTCGTGGCATCAAAAGATTCTGACGTGGACAAAAAGGGGTAGGACTTGGGCGAGGAAATGACGGGTAGGGAAGCTGGTAACGATTGTTGGCTAACTCATTTTCAGCTGGAAATCCACGGGCCAAATACTGCAACGTATTCCCGCCGGAACGAAACTGAGGGTAGGATGAGTTAACTGACCCAGTATGGACATTAGCACGAGGAGTGCATTGGTAAAACGGTCGCGGAAGAAACATGTTAGGGGGTGGGGGACTCAGTGAATCCACTGGAGCAAGAGTTCTATTAAAAGGCGGGAATGTCGGCATATTCGGCTCAACCGCGTAGATATGAGGACTGGGGGCAGTCGGAAATGCGCTACGTTTTGAGTCGGGGCGTTTAACGCACTGTTAGCCGATTGTGGAGAAAAAGATTTTAGACTGGAGCTAGATTTACCCGGTGTCCTAGTGGCTGAGACGGCAATTGGATGCGCCTTTGACTTAGTCACATGCTTAGGCTTGCTAGGGGTTGCTGGAGGAGTCGGTAGAGGCGTGTTTTTATCGGGCATGTTGGTACGTTTAAAGATTTCGGCATTAAGAGTAGTCGAATTCCCTACGAATTGACTATGCCGTGACGTGCAGAGGCCGCAAATGGTGTTGTAGAAGACTTATTCAAATTGACAATAGGTGTCATCATCTCGGTGTTGGTTTTTGACAATTTAAATTTGTTCAGTCTTCGCTGCAATGGTGTGAGGTCTGGCGAAACGGAGCAGTGCACTTTCGGCAGAATTCTCTAGTTATCGCCCTCCTCGACAAGATAAAATTGGCTTCTATCAAGGAGAAAAGGGTAACTAGTATTGGCACGTTGCGACTGAGCGAGCGCAGTCGTTTAGCTTGTGCGACATTGAAACCCAAGCCACAACTTTGTAGGAATAAATGCGCTCCCTCTGTAGCAGATATGTGATACGGAATGCTTCGCAGTAGAAACTTATGTTTGCGTTTCAGAACTTATTACTCCAATAACTTTCAACGCCTGTTCAATGACTTTTTAGAAGTGCTGCTTATGTCGCCATATATTAACTGATCGAGTATTTCGTCGGCTGATGTTCAGTTACGGCTAGCGGAGGCGTAGTTTTGGACGATTAGGAGGTCAAGAGGTTCTACTTGGACTAAAGGGATTTTTGAGTTAACCATATCTGTATAAGGCGACGAACATATGCTGGCACCTGCTGTGTCTCCAGTCACGATTCTAGCACCCAGAGGCGGTGGGGAGGCCGCAAGCTTTCGTCTTTTAGCACGTGCACTGCGGGACATTACAGACTAGATAACTTTTCGGTTGCAGTACAAGAAACAAAACGTTGCTAACGTACAGAAAAACGTACTGAATAGCAAATACTGCTCTTATTTTACAACAAAACTAGAAAGAGATAGCCTGACACGGAATCACTAAAGAGGCTCGGCACTAAATACGGCTATTCTGTCAGACTGTCTAACAAAATCGGAAAAATTTATGCCCAGTAGTGAAAGGCGACTTTTAAAAAGGACTAGAGAAAAACGGGCATTAATTGCTTAAGAATATCAAAGTATCGCCAAAGCTTCACTTATCTTTGAAATTGAGCTGCGCTCCTTGACCCTGACCTGCCTAATGACCGGACTTTGGGCCTGCCCGACAGTCCCTGCTATCACAGTAACGGCGTTCACAACAACGACCTCTCTCACCTTCGATGATCACACTCCCGATGTCCCGCCGTCATCGATCACCGTTATCTCCATTATTTATGCCACATCTCCCGCGAAGACGGCGTCGGCTACCCGCTCTCCCATTCCCAACACCGCAGCGAACACTCCCGACGGCTCATCAGCTACTTCTATCTATATCAACGCCCCCACCGCCAGCGATGTGAACTCGTTCAAAGCCCGTCCTCATTACGATCGTACATTCAACTCGCACATCAGTCTGGCCAGTCACTTACGAATCCACTGCGCTGGGACCGGCGCACCAGTACCAGAAACCCTCACCTGCATTTTCCACTTCCGTGCCCACTGTCTACACTGTCCGCACACATTCATACACCACAAGAGCCCACTCGGTTACATGTGTCTCCACAGCAGCTGAATTCAGGGGGATATCGACATATCTTGGACATTCACCAATTATCCTATCCCTAGCCGAATCAACTCCCCATTGACTAGCGCGCCTCTCATTGGCATTACCGCACTGACAACCGTCCTAAAGCCCCGACTTGTCTTTTTCCCATTGTCACCGCACGTTCAGCTCACGCATCGGCCTAGTCGGTCACCTGAGAGCCCACTGGACAGGGGCTGACGAACCGGTGCCTCGCGCATCGACATGCACCTGGTACCATCGCCGCAATTACCCACACTTCCTACATTCAGCCATAGCATGGGCTTATTCGGTCACGTGCGCATTCACGAAACTGTGCAGTCAGTCGTCGTAGACCACATCGCCACACATTTCCCCATCAACACACGCACCAAACATGAACATCTCTAACATTCCAAATCGGTGGCATATCTCACGTATGTGGGAAGTACGCTCGTCGGCTCCATACTCCGTGCGGCTCCTCTTCTGGATGTGAGACGGGAGCATTCTACCCCTGTGTGAAACCGAGATGTTTGCGTATTGGGGCCGGGTTTTGGTGTGCGGCACGCGCAGACATGCTATTCTTAACTTTTTCATCCACCTCTCCTAATCTTGGCATCGGTTGACTGACCGGCTCGGACCGTCAGCTGGTGCAGGGGATGAGGTATAGCGAGTGATGTCAAGGGTCTCAACGCATAATTCCTCGATATTAACAGTCCGAAGTGCTTGAATTAATCACGGTTCACCAAAAGCCGTGGTTAGTAATGCTGCAAACCTAGGGGATACATTGGAGCCCGCAGTCAGTCCATCGTGCATTTGTCTTGAGTGGCCGACTGGTGAGGTGAAAGTCATGCTGCAATAGCTCTTTTTTAATATGGTTTCTATGACACTTCCACTTAGTTGGATCCGAACCGATGTGGTGGCACGCGCTTTGCTGCGGACTCTCGTCGTAACAGCCATCCGCGCCATCTTTTCCCCTCGGTCTTCTCGACTCTGTCACGACTTAGGGCGCAGCTGATGAGGAGCAGAGTGTGCAATAGATGCAATGAAAGTCTAATGCAACCACAAACGCGTTCATGCGTAAGTTACCATTCCTGCTCCGACCCTACTGTGGAGCACACGGTGGACATCGTCGGCAACGACTGTCGGACTGTCATTTTCGACTGGGTGATGCCCATTTAGCAGCGCGCGAACGTAGTTTATACGGCCTCACTAAACAAAGTTGGCATATTCAACCATGACAGGAGTGACATGTCCTTGTTTCCTACTTACACGTGCGCATTATTCGCCCCTGTCTTCTTAAGTTTTATGAACAGCGGCTGAAAGAACAGATGTATTGCTTCATCCCTTTAAAAAATCCAAAAGGGATACTTCTCAATATAACACGGTCGTCTTGGAATCAGAACTTTTATACAATTGTTGCAATCACACTTATTTTGCGTGCTTAAGCTCAGGTTGTATTTCCATTTACATAGCCATTCACTTATGTCCATTTGTATTTATTAGTTGCCCTAGAGCCGACTGTGGATTACCTGCCGCGTTTTGCGCTCGGACAAGCATTCCGCGAAACCGTTAGTCCTAAAAATCAAGTAAACGGCTCTTCCCCCGCAAGTAGTTTGTATCACTTAAATTCAGTATTGTATGTGGTTGGGTTTGCATTTTCAGGCGAAATAGAAAATACGCACTGAAGCAAAAATGTGACAACACAAGCTTCTGGCTATGTCTCGACGTTTTCTGTGATACAAGTAGAGGCATGACTTGGTTTCCCCAGGAGAGACTAGGGCAGTATCACATCTGACTATAACGTCCGGGCGTGACGTCAGAGACAATTAAAACCGAGAAGGGAAGGTTAGGGGCTATACGTAGTATGGTCCGACAGGGCAACGGGCTCGTGGCTTAGTGATTAGAGGCGTTGACTTCTAAACAAACAGGTCGCGAGTTCGAGCCTTGGGTGTGCCGCACTTCGGGGTTGGGTATGACTGGCTGATGACGGCTAATAAGCCAGAAATGGCCATTCCAGTTTCCCTTGTCTTTGTCGGTAATATCATTCTGACTATACGTAGTGCCGATTATCCCTTAAATTCTCCTAACCCCAGCGATAGCCAGTTCCCTCAGTAGTCTTTGCAGAGGTACGTTCAGGGTTGATTTTGTCTCATCACACTCAAGCCAGGCCCTTGCGATCTCCTCATGATACTGCGGGACGAAATTCTTTATGTTTAATTAACGCTAGTAGAACTTACCGAATTTGAGACCCATAACATACGAACAAACGTTCTAAAATCTAGTAGTCCACATAAAGTCAAGTGGTTTAGTACCCTTATCCACATGTAGCTACTATGTTGTCCGTGCACTATGTATGTACAGCTTACACTCCCGGGGCTTGCCATTTAATTCCAAAAGCGATTATTCTTTTGGCCCAATCTCTGTGATTCTGAAGTTCTATTTCTATCTTCCCACAAAAAGCTCATTTTATGACGGTCTTTTTGGGCGCGTTCAGTCGGTTTGCACTTCCATCACCTTGGTGCCTTTGTTTTGGCTTTCTTCTACTGTCGAATTTTCTGGTTTCCTTGTTTGACCACTCTCATTCCTAATCACCTCCTTAGCGATTGCTACTGCTTACTGCTTAAGCCAATTTTTGCGAAAAGGACAATAAATATTTACCGATTGACTAAACGCACTTTGCGCACTTCTAGCAACGCAGAGTAGTCTAGTCCCCGCTGTTTTTTTTTAATGTGTAGTTTCCGTCCACACTCTTTTCCATACTTCCATTTTATCATAGATCACGGGCAGGGATTTACGTAGCAAAACATGTATATTTAAACAAAAACGCTTGTTTCTGCCCTCTCTTCTAATACGGAAGTATAAATGACCTCTTCAGATCGTTTATACGAGGACAGTCTAGTCGATAAACTCCTGGTTATTTCCACGGTTTGGAGTTTAGAATACAAACGACAGTTGTTTTCGACTGATCCGCATCAGCTCCTTGTCCTATCCGTTTCTGTTTCCCAAATATTTTAGTCAATACCCATGGTGTTGGTGGCCATTTCAAGTCCATTCGGAGTCCTTGAGAAAAAAACAATCATGCGGCCTTCAACTTACCGTTTGCCACATAAAAGTCATAAGTACTGGCAGCAGTGCATGCGAACCGCGGCGTAAATGTGAACCATATTTGCTTTACAATAAGTGGGGTTTTTACGTAGTTTACGCAGTCACATCATCAGCTTGCTGCTGCGACATCTGTCTTTCAACGCTGATCGAATCTTTCCACGTACTAAAACATCACATTTTCCTCAAAGATGCTGCCTCATGTTTCCGTGGCACAGCTAGAAAAATACTTGCCCACACCCAGTTCCTAGACACACGTAGTTTGAAGGGGTTTATACAAGGCAGTTTGTCATAATAGTCAGTTGTGGTGATGGTGGTGGTGGTGGGGGTGGTGGTGACACTACGCTGCGGTATGTCGACAACGCGAAGTTTCATAATACAGGAGTCAGGGGAGACAGTTATCTGGACAATCTTCCCCGAGTCGAGAGAGCTCAGCAGACGTTGCATCAATTGCTCTCGCTAACCAAGTGATGGCCGTTGAAAACGTTAGTCCCACCGCATGCGTGCCCCCTGGCCTTTGTCCTCCCGTAACCAACCATTAAAAGATGCAGCATGCAGTAGCATCAAACTCTCTCTACACCTGTGCCAAGACACAACCGGGTCAAGAAGCGCATTGGCAGGGTAAGTTAGACGTATCGAAGGTGGCATGGGCGAGCGGCTCACCGGTAACCACGGGAGCATACCGCCACGGTACCCACCGACTAGACCGAAGACGGGGTCCAGGGAAGCCTAATAAATTGTGTATGTCTAGAAACATGACCAATTAATGTGTCTGGAAAGTGGACACGGCACCCAGCAAGGCTAATATAAACAGGAGGGACAGGAGGAGAGGAATGAATGTGTGTTGCGGCTGGAGAACCGGGAGTTGATGGGGAAGTCTTAGTTGGTGGCAGCGGAAATGAAGGAGCAGTAAGTTAACGAAACGGTGGGACAGATATCAGTAGAGGGGGACGAGCAGGGGTGGGGGACCACAGGGCTCGTCCGGAGAAGTGTCCGAGAAAGAAGATTTGGGACGGTCCGCGCTCACGACATCCTCGCGAGTTTCATGTTGAATGCGGAAGTTCCCCGAGAGACAGCCGGGAAGGGACCGCCGTAGGATAGTTCCGATGGCCGACGGACTCGACCACACAGGGGGTAGGTATGAGAGCATGTCCTCAAGTCGTCCTAGAGATAAGACTTAGAGACCGTTGGCCCTGGCGGAACCACAGAGATTGTCCACATGAATTGTCAGGGAAGGTGCAGGAGGTCGGTCGGATCCTCAAACACCTACTGAGAAAGGTAACATAATGGAAAAAAAATAAAAGTAGGTTTGCGTCGCACTATTGCTAAGGTTGTAAGGGTTCTCTTTGGAGGATACCCTTTAGGCTCTGTCTTATGGAAAATATGTTTAAGTGTTGTAATTATTGCATTTATAGCACTCTGGAGGTGACCCACGGGCAGTATTTATAATGCCACTCTTGCCTACTCACACTAGCTAGAGCAGAAAATGTGGATGGCGGCGCACATAAAAGTGGTCTGTCTGCTGCGTTGCTTTGTTTTCTGCCCTTGCCTTCCTGTCTCACCAGCGAACCTTCGTTCGAGTGTTTACCCAGCGTTCCGCCTCCCTGAGCCTAATGGCCCAATGCCATGTGAACTCGAACAGCGCTAAAAACGTCGTTCGCGGTCATCTTTGCCAGCTACAGCACTCAGCCAGTAGCGCGAGGCAAACTGCTTTTGTAACACAAATAAGACTAGACTTGTCGTTTTTCGACTCCACTACTACAACTAGCGAATCCAAATTCTGTAGGCAGGCCAGGTACATGGGGTGACAATAAGGTGAGTAGTCGTCTCTAACCACGTGTTCGGCACGTAAAATAGAAAGAGAACATGGAGAAATGGAGAAATTCCCAAGTATTGGGTGATTTCGGTAGCAGTGCGTCTACTGCAGGTCCTGCGCTTACGCAACCGGCCATGCAGGGTCTGCCACTGGTTTAGTTTTGGGACGTATCTCCGATCCGGTTCTCGGAGATAAGTTAATCTCCCAGTTTGGCTGAAAGAGCGGGACAAGGCATCCGCTTTACGGAGGAATGACGGTGCACGCGTATTTGTCCTTTCTCTGAGTCCGTAGAAGGCATTAAGGCATTTTGTCATCAGTTAGCAGGTGATCACGGGTTTTATTTCTTGTTTCACTGTACGCCGCATTATTCGTCTTTTTGCGTGTGGACGCTGCAGTTCGCTCTATTCTAGTCTGAGAAAGACTCGTCACATGGCATGGGATTCAGGGGTCGTTTCAAGTGGCCAGGCGGCGGTTATCAGCGCTTCCCGTTTCCTTTTCCCTATTAGGAAAAACCAGTTGTGGAAAAACCCATTCTCACAGTGCAATGGCATACCGAACGGAAAGTGAGGTAGTACTAAGTACCTGGTAAATGGCCCGTTAAGAAATGGACATTGCGTCTCTTGGTGAGGCTCACTTCTCTTAACAGAGGCAACTGGAGGAGGTGGGTACCGGGTACATCTTGTAGAGCAGACGTCCAGAGGCGGAGCCACGTGATGCTGGAGTCGGTTTTTCCATCTGGAACGGCTGCCTTGTTTGCCACAGAGCATCAGGGACCGTCTTATGGTTCTGCGAGAACAAATCTGCCACCGTTGCCATCGCCTATGTCCCCTCAATGATCAACTTCGATGACGTGTACAACATGTTCTACGAAAACCTTCACGCCCTCCTAGTGACTGTGCCGGGGGCGGATAAACTGATTGTCCTCAGTACCTTTGGTGCTCGTGTTGGCACAGGCCACGCTGTTGGGGGGAGGCGCTCTGTCGCCACGGTATCGGCAGCTTCAACGTCAATAAGTTTCCTCCTCTGCATGCCTGCACGGAGTACGGTCTTTTTCTTATCAACACGTTCTTCCATCTTCTGATGCTGTAAAGGACGAAATGGATGCGCCCTTCGTCGGATCACTGGCAGCTGCTGGACCACGTTTTCGTTCGTAGGCGTGACCAGAGTGACATTCTAGTGACAAAGAAGATTTGTGGTGTTGAATGCTGGAAGACCTACCGTCCTGTCATCTCCAAAATGGGACCGCAATTACAACCCTGCAGGCGACCGTCGGTTCAACTGTCGCGGACAAGGATGTCTACAGTGCGTCCCACAACGCGTTGGGCGAGGGACAATGACCCGGGGGTGAATTAATTTGTACTGATAGCAGGCCTACGCAGCATCATCCACGCTGTCTCCTCCCTCATCCATCTGGACCCGACGGCAAGACAGAGTCAGAACGACAGAAGACTGCAATCCCAACAACACTAAAGCCACGTGAGAAAGCTCAAGTACTTCCACCTAAACTACCCTCGAAGAATGTTGAATGCGAAGTAGCAGAGACTGATCCCTAAGCACTAGGGCCGACTGACACTGTAACCAACTACGGCATCCTGACGCAGATCCATCGGTGGCGGAGCAGCCACATTTTGAGGATGGCCGATGAACGCATGTCGAACCGACTGTCCATGGGGTCCTCGTTCCAGGCACTGGCAGACACAGTGAAAAACATTCATAAGGACAGATCGGAAACTCCTTCCCCTCAGAGCATGCCGTCAAATTAATTAAAAGACCCAGGAGGCAGCTGAGCAGGGCCAGCTGACATGAGGAACAGTCGTCGAAACTGGAACATCTATCATCGAAGCCAACCGGGTAAATGCGACAAGGCGACAGGAAAGACTAGAATGCTACGAGCCGGAACCGCCAACGCAAAACTCCACTGTCAACGTGTGTCCACGGCCCTGATTGACTTTTTTGGACTCCTTCGTATCTGCTACCATGCTAACACAACCAACTAACCACTTTGTACGACCAAGCGCCGCCAATAGCATCGTAGCCAACGACATCCCTCTCACTTCTTTTCATTGAAACATCGCGTTTCAGTTCTGGCTTAGCCTGGTCGATCATGTTTGTATCCACCGCAGAACGAACGCCGCAAAAACCCAAAGAACACAAGTAATGCCAACTTGTACACATCGCAACCACACATTCAGATCACGCATTAGCCTGGTCGATCGTCTAATAATCTGTCGTAGCATGACTAGATAAGGCTAGATCGCAGTTGGTAGTCAGGCCGCGTATTACAGGTGGATGGGGGGTTTGTTTACTGGGGCTATTTTGTGGGGCTCCATAATCACATCTTATCCATTTGGCTTCCGTTTTACGTCTGAGGTTGGGATTAGGGTACCGGTTAATGGTTTCCGATTTTCGGGTTAGGGTTTTGCCTTTAGGCTTAGGTTTTCGGATTATGGTTTGGGTTTGGGAGTACGAGTAGGTTTCAGTATTACGGTTATGCTTTCAGTTACGGCTATGTCTAAGGGCTACAGTTCCGTTTTCTATTTCGGTTAGGGTAAGGGTTAGTGTTGCCCTTAAGGTTAAAGTTTAACGTTTAAGGTTGAGGTCAGGGTTAGGGTTAAAGTTAGGATTAAGGTTACGGTCGCCGTCCGCTTCCCTATTCCTGGCTACCAACTGATATCTGGCCCTAGATAAGTCGTCCCTATGGCACCGACCAACGTAAAACTCACACCGTCCATGCTCGCAACGCATTCACGCGTTTAAGTACTGCCTGTACCCATTCGTCATACGCGCTTACATGACAACACTCAGTAAAAATTTCCCACTATCTAAACTCACACCGTCCTAACACATGCAGTATCCCTATAGACCTTCCATCGAGCGGTTCGAAGAAGCCAACAGTGCTTAGGAAATGGATGAGGGAGGGAGACCGACAGTGAGACGCTATTGTTTATGCAAATTAGCCGATTCATCACTAGAAGAAACCTGGCAGTTTCGGACCTATGAAGACGCGGTAAAGACCGTAACTGGAACGGCTGCCGGCTGACGGTATAGCACTGTCGCTTGTTAGGACAAGGGTCAGACTACAAGGCTCGTGGTCACTATGACGAGATCCCCAGAACTAGATGCGGCACATGTCCGTTTAGGGGTCAGGTCGAGTGCGTGGCATGTGCAGACCGACAGTTCAACTTTGTCCATCCCTGTTCTCTCCCCCACACGTGAGTGGCTTAGTTTTGTTATGGCATTGGAACAAGGTGGACGGCGTAGGGCGGCGGAGTCAGGTAGATGCATCTCAAGCTACAGCCGCCCAGGTCTCGCTGGGGAGATGGTGAACCTTTATGTCTGCGACAGAGGAACGCTGTTGTGCGCGTGCGGATATGAGTTTAAATGTGCTTCAGTTCTACAGGCCCCACCACCTTATTAGAGTGTTCGGATAGCGAATTAGGTATTTTGCCCTTTCGGCAGCAATTTAGTACACTCGCTTGCAAGGTAGACCTAATACGAGCGGCGAAAGCAGGGAAAATTATTAAACTAAAGGAAGGAAGGAAAACGGCTGGAGATGAAAAAAATAGGACGACGGCGAAAGAATGAAGGATGAATACGACGAAAACTAGGGAGAAGAAAGAATAGGGGTAAAAGGAAGACGATTGTTATGAAGAGAGAAAATTATGGATGGAGAGGACGAGAGCGGAGAAGGAGAAGAAGAAGAAGAGGGAGGAAGAGGAAGAGGAGGAGGAAGAAGGAGAATAAGAGGAAGAGGGAGAGGAGGAATAAGAAGAGGGATGAGGAGGAGGAGGAGGAGGAGGAGGAGGAGAGGGGGGGGAAGAGGAAGCGGGTGAGGCAAAACAAAAAAACTGGAGCACGTTAGCAAACGAGAAGATAAAGATGGGCGTGAAAAAGAAAAGGGCGATCAGTGGGACTATGGCGATGAATAAGCAAAGAGAGAAAAAGTAGAAGTGCGAAGAAGAAAGGGAAGAAGAGGAAGATGAAGGAGAAGGAGAAGGAGAAGAAGAAGAAGAAGGGAGACCACCCCGTCTCTCGAAATTTGTACCACTTTGTTATTGAGAGCTTTTCTCGCTTTTCAGAGGAGAAGAAAAACAGACAAAAGTCTGTTGCTCAAAAATTTTAGAGGTCTTAGCGAACAATGAGTGCATAACCTAGCCGGGTAATAAATGTGTCGATTAAGTGTGCCCGTAAGTGTGTCTAAGTGAATTAAATTGACTGCTTTTCTAAAGATTACCAAATGTTTGCTTTTTAGCCAGGTGTAGAGAATGTTAGGGCCCTGACCACACCCAGGTGGGAGTAAGTAAGGCCTTAGGCATGGATAAAGTTTGCCGCCCAAATCACGTCGATTTACGTGTCCATTGGTTAAGTCGGAACGAAACGGCCCTGGGTAGCAGATTATGGTCGTCTTGGCATCCACCATTTGCCCGACACAGCGTGCGCGCGTGCTTTTGCCCGGTTTTCGTCCAGACTTAGTGGTACTTTGCACTAATCACCAGAACGCGGGGAATGCATTCATCTGAGTTTGGAGGGCGTGGATGGTCCGTTCTATTTTCGCCTGCCCTCTCAGGCCTCCTGTCAGAGGCTATAAAACGGTTTTTGGCGAGTACTATGTGGTGTGCTGGCCTGCCCGACTACTCAGGGACCAAAATGAGCATAACTTACTCACTGACTGGCTGGGGAGGCAATTCTACATGCTCTCTGTGCCTATCTTTGCCCTTATCCGCTTCCAGAAGTGTCCATATTGATAAGGTCTGATTGGAAGAAAGGTAACTACAGGCTTTTTTGAAAATGCCAGTTTCGCTGAATTTTGCTGTCCAGAATACCTGTCAGAGCACTTTTCAGGATACTTGTTTCTAAGGCCGTCGCTAAGGGGAATAATCACCATCCTTATCGTATCGGAGATAAAAAAAACCCTGGCACACTAATTGAACAGGCCTAGCACTAATTTCCTTTGTTCTATTAATTGGACTGAAACTCGGGAATCGCAGTCATTTACTCTCCGATAATTCAATCTCCGAATGGTGCCGCCTACTCGCCTGCCTTCGAGAGGGTCCAAGAAAGACCACTTACTCTCCTCCCCAGGCTTGTTCGTGAATTTGATTTTGGCATTGAGTAGAACTTCCTCGTGTCTCAAACCATTTACTACAGCGAAAATGTCGCCCACACATATTCTACAGAATTTACTTAGTTGCAGCTTTTAGGACACTGGGCGTTCTAGACCGTATATGAATACACATATGTAATAACCATTCGCAGTTGGTCCAGAGTTTACGCTGTTAAATTCTGTATGTTTCATCCCCCCCCAGCCTTCGGGATAACACGGTTTCCAATCCCTCGTCTTTATCAGTAAAACTTCGCAACTACCAATCAGTAGTCGTCCTGCTGTCAACTACGATGGCTATAGACCCTGATCCTCCGGGCGGGGCCGAAATGCTCATCTTTGTTCTGCAGTCCAGATAGATCTGGTGCACGCCGTTTTCATCTGCTGCAGCTCACAACTGACGGAACCCGCAAATGAAAAATGGATTTGCGCTGTACTCCCTTCTGGTATCGGATTAGACTGGTTAACGGCACGCTCGCGTAGCTCCTCTGACGCTTCCCCTAAATCCTCCCTATTGTCCAATAGTTAGACGCTAGACACTGAATCAGGGCTTGTGTGTCGACCCCTCGCTTTACCAGTCAACCGCTGTCGTCTTCTCTATCCTGGGAGAAGGAAACAGGCAGTGGACTTCTATCATGGTAACTTTGCCATCATTAAGGAAATATGACTAAATTATGGATCGACTAGTGAGTGCAGACACCGCGTGAGGAAAAGGTAGCACGTTCAGTCCATTTGACCGAAAATCTATGTCCACCCTGGGCAATTATGGCCACTTTGGCAGGAAGGAGAAGGCATCTAGCGGAAAGCACTTTTGAGTTCCGGAAACCGACGTAAACTTATGGTGCGCTTTCCGGTTTGCCTGCAAGATGAGTCATCCACCTTTCGAAAAGGTGTTCGTTTCTCTCAAAACGACAGAGAGTCATGCTACAGAAACCGGCCACCGAAATTGCTCACGGATCGCCTTCATAAATGGGTGCCAAGGCAATGCCTTGGAGCGCCGAATGATGTATCGATTTCGGACCGTTTAGCACTTACAAACCCTCTGGTAAAATCCTCCCTTGAAGTGAGCAGAACATAGTCCGTTTCTTTGACATAAATATAGATGTCGAACTTCGCTGCTAATTCGCAATCAATGAGGTTATTTGCACCTTTGCCGGTGCTGAGCTGCTTTACTTTTCCTGGGTACAGACAATTTGCCTTCGAAAATTTCTGTTTGCGAAGCAGTTCAGATGAAGATGAGGTCGCTGGAACAAGAAGTTTATTGGCCTGACGTTTCGGATTCTCACTCGAACCCATCATCAGTGACGGTTGCAGATAAAGGTAGTGGAAGCACAAAGACTGCAACATTTATAGTATGCGGCTGCCGTGGGGCCACATACATGCTATAATTAACGGCTCTCGCGATCACCGCTGGGATGTCGTAATTAAGACGATGATGACTCGTCACTCCGCGTCCGAGTAGTTAATTGTCATGATTTCGTCATCCGTGCTGGATGCTGGTGTGACGATTGCTCGACCATTTGGCCCGCTGCCACCGAGGTTGCTGCTCGCTCGCGCCTTCCCCATGTGACTGATACCCCTGCTCAGGGTATGTCTCAGTACTGAATATGGTACTGGGAGGTTATTACGCCTGTTGATGGATTGCGGGCCGGAGAACCATGACTCGAGCAGCTCGCGGCTCACGCGATCGTCACCCCTTGTGAGGATTCCGGGCTCTTGAAACTCGAAAATATGGCCGAGTTCCGTGGAATGAGCCGCCACCCTGGAGCTGGCGTCTTTCGTCCTCACCGCTGCTGCGCGCTCAGCTATCCGCGTCCGGAGTAATCTTTCAGTTTCTCCGAGGCAGTTGCTCTACCCTCAACTGCGCCAGATCCGGTAAACAACTCAAGACGTTTCCTACCGTGGCAGTGGGTCTTTCGGCCTCATGTTTTGGCGTCTGCTAGTTGCTTCCCGCCTGTGTAACACCCCCCGCTATATTTCTTAAAGGTTCGCTGGACGCACTTTGCGTCCCTTATGACAAATTTTTGCGACTCAAAATAATCAGAGAGATCACGTCTCACTGGTCAGACTTGTTTTCATATGGAAGTAACGAATAATTTACTTCAAATGTCTTTTGCAAGTAAGGAATCCTTGTTCAATTTCCAGGAGAGAATTGATTGCGAAATGGTTAGTCCGTTCATCCAAATAAAATAAGGAAACGGGGAAATAACTTCATAATCTTGTTAAATTGACTGTCCTCTATCAAGATTTCAGACAGAGTCAGAACTGTACACTAAGACGTTTCTACTACACGGGGCTTAATTCTAAAAATAAGTAAATCGGTGCGACACATTATTGCCCATTGCAGCTAACAAAATCTGTCCGTGGCTCAATAGCCAACGCGTTATGGTCGGCGACCAACTAGGCCCGGGATCAAGTCTGGATTCGTTCTGGCCTGGGAGTGGGTCATATCTGGTCGGCGAGAGTATAGGTGACAGAAATAGCCACCGTTGTCTCCCTCGTCTCTGTTGCCAACACCTGTAGAAACGATCGATGAGCGCCCCTCTACCATTGTATATTCGCGACCGCAACCGACAAGACAAAGGGCCCGTGGCTCAGTGATTAGCGGCGTTGGACTTCTAACTAACAGGTCGCGGGATCGAACCCCAAGTGTTCCAAACTTCAGGGGTGTATATGACCGGCTGAAGACGGCTAATAGGCCAGAAATGGCCATCCCAGTCTCCCTTGTCTTTGTCGGTAATACCTTCTTAATAATTAACTGCTCTCCTGCATGCCTACTTGAGAAAATTCGTAGTGGTGCTTGATGTGTATCCAAAAATTTTAAATACAAACTCAGGCGACCACGAGAGACCTGATATGTTGCGAGCTCGGAATTCAGGACAAGCCCAACCTTTCGGGCAGCAAAGGGAACTTTTCGATGGTTGGCAGCAAGGAGTAATGGGACAAATTACACACGAAGGCCGAAAACAGGCAGCTATTAGTTTTCGCAATGACTCACCAACCGTCGAAATGGTTCTGACGCGACAGTGCCAGCGTGGATTATCGAACCCAGGAGACGAGGATAGCGCGTTTGTTTTCCGGCTAATTTACTCCTAATGTACTAAAAAGCCCGAAGCCGTGAATATACATTGCTTGTAGAAGTCACCCAACTTGACTGTAGGACAGTCGAGCCTAATTCATCTCTTCACGAAAGCAGGAATATTGAAGTCAACTAAATAAATTTGCCACCATGAGAAACATGATAAAACAGATGCGACTTCTTGAATATTGAGTTGCTGAAGTTACTGGCTCGTATAATTCGACCACTATGGGGCGAGGACCGAACTGTCGCTTCGCTTTCCGCCTACCAAGTTTTAATCGCGTGTTTGAACTACTCAAAAACAACAACAACAACTGCCATTTCCCCTTTTTATATACAACATCTCGTTAATAGAATATATTTCTTTTAGGGAAGACGGCTGGTGTTTATAAAGAGGCATCCTAAGAAATAAAGAAGACTGTGAAGTGAAAATTCATCTCAAAATTGTATATCCCTTCCAGCTGCAGGAAAATAAAATACAGCTACCCGTTTTTCGATAGGGGACTGAACATAGAAGTATGTTCAGGAAAACGGTTTGGGGATTCTGCATGGCTTGTGTGGCAGTAGAAGGAAGATATATTTTCATTATATGCAAGCATCTTAACGAGTGAGCGCATACACATAATTTTTTGACTAAAACGGAAACTGCGGAAGGGTCAGTTTAAAACATGTACAGTACTTGGGACACCTCATGAAATGCCATGCATTTCGCGGGAAAAGCTCTGTGAAGTAGAATCCCTCAAACCTACGTCCCCAAGGTTTTGTAGCATTAAAGAAATGGTCGTTTTTATAAAGAAGAGAGACGTTGGTTTATAAATTAATATTCAGTATTTTTAGAATGTTTACACCGAAAACCAGAATTTCAAAAAAACTACCATATTATAAATCCTTTAACCAGGTCCAAATACAAGGGCGCATGAAGAAAAGGGGTGAAAAAAGCGGGAAAATGACGAAAACAGAAATACAAAAATCAGTAGTTTGTTGCCTGTCTCTTCGCATTATATACATAAAGGCACATGGAACTCGAATCTTTGAGAGCATATGTATATGTAGAGCAGAAGTGGTATGCATTCCGAGACGATATAATGAAAAAAGAAGAGGTTCTTCGGAAAAAAAATCGAGTTGTACGCGAGTACAACTCGTTTTTTTCGAAAAACCTCTTCCTTTTTCATATATATATATATATATATATTCACTCAGGAATGGGCGCACACTGATCAATTGGCTTCCCGAAGTAGGTGGTTGCCTGCTCGTGACCCCAATCGCCCATACGAAGCTTTTTTGCTTCGGGAAGCCAATGGATCGGTGTGAGCCCATTCCTGAGTGAATAAATACCCGATCTGCAGCGACAAAGAACGGCGGGTGGCGAGGCACTGATGAAGTTCGGTTCGATGAAGTGCTTATGACTTATCTGGTAGACCCCAGTGGTGGACCAGCTGCGCCAGGTGTGTCTGTACCCATGTTTGTGTTTCCGGTCTCAGCTGGTGGTCAGGGTTATGATTAGCTGCATGAAGGCAAACAAGCTCGAAACAGTGCTGTATCAATCTATCCCCCAGACTCTGTCGTCTCCCCTCTGATATATATATATATATATATATATGTGTGTGCGCAGAATGACATTACCGACAAAGAAAAGGGAGATCGGAATGACCATTTTTGGCTAAATAGCCGTCGACAGCCAATCATACCCAATCCCGAGGTGTGAACGCCTAGGGCTTGATTCCGCGACCTGTTAATTAGAAATTCAATGTCCTAATAATTGGGCCACTGGCTCGTTGGCCTGTCAGTTGCGGTAGGGTAATAAACCAGAAATGGTCATTCCAGTCTTCTTTGCTTTTGTTAGTAATGTCATTCTGTATATATTACGCGCCGCTATGCGGCTACTGGCCGAGCTCGAGAAAGAGTCCCAAATCACAACGGGACGAGTGAGTTCCGTAACGCGACCGGTGAGCGCCCATCTACCATTGCATACACCTAATTGCAACTGGCATGACAACGAGTCCGCGGCTCAGTAGGTACGGCGTTAGATGGTTGAAAGTGTTATTAGATACATACTTCTTTAGAACGATGGACAGGAACATTGTCGTGTGAAATTACGCTATCCAGTCGGCGCAGCATGCTCTTTTGGGAAATTCTTTCCGCATATGACCATCTAGGTCAACTACATCGGCTTGTATAAAAATAAGACCTCATCGCAAAAGTAAATGCTCTTCCAGAATGAGGGTCGGTAGTCAATATAGTTCTTAACAAGTAAAAACGTTCTCTCACAAGTTTTCTACTTAAAAACTGCTTGATCATGGCCTTTTGTTGATGAACTTGGCTTACTGTATCAGATTTGGGGGTACCAGACGTTGCAGTAAGTTGGGCGAGTAAACTTGACCCAAGCGGGATTAAACTCGCTTCGTTCAGTGGGGCCTCTTAGCTCAGATGGTTAGAGCGTTGGCTGCATTAAAGCCTCTTCTTACTGACGGAAGTTCAAACTCTCGCATCCTTTTCATACTTATGTTCATAGATAACACCGCAGATGCTCCCTGTGAATGGTCTAAGTGGGCATATAGTAATACTTCTTCAGTGTACGACGAATAAAATTGTCTCATTGTTTGCTTGTGGACCGTTTTGGTCCACCCTGCTTATTTTTGGGTACGGTTCTATCATTAAGTATTCACTACGGAGTGACTTCACTAATATTGAAAATGCTAACGACTCACGCAACGACCCTTCCGCTGCCAATTTCTATATATGCTTTCGTAGTCGACTGTTGAAAGACACTGCCTGGAAATCTTTATCGCCTGGTGACAGCATGTCGCGCGTACTCAATATGCATCCGTTTACGCCTGGTAGTTCTCGGTGTGGTAAAACAAACCACTATCGAAAAAATTTATTACTGACTTCTTTGGCATGAGAAGCCATAAATTTACAAAAAAGAATTTTATAAGCTGAATTCACCCTTTTTTCTTGAAACCAATGCAAGTGTTCATACCCGCGCTCACATGATTTTCATGGAAGCAAAATCAAATTTCCCACTTCCTGAAGGGATTTGTTTCGTACTTTTCCTGTTTATAGTAATCTTTGCCTACAGCACAACGTATATAAACATGGAGTTTTGATCTGCAGATTTCCATAGCGTAGGGAATTATTCAAATATCAAGGAAGGTCAGATTTCGCCCAAATCTGGCTGTTTTCCTTTGATAAATCTGACTTGAAGTGAACCCCGCTTCAGTAAATGGCTTTCTGTCTCAAATCATTTCAATGGACGCAAATAACAATACCAAATGTATGACACACTTCTCACTCAAATTTCGACCACGAAATTTCATGAGTTAGACCATCTACTTTATATATTGTAGTGTACGAGTCGTTCACCGACTAGGCTACGAGAGCCTGGAGCTCGTTGTAGATCCATCACAGACAGTTGCATAGGGACGACTAATGTAAGCAGAGAAGTGTCAAAAGGACAGAAGGGACTGAGAAAACAGTTTTGGCATCAATCAGGCCCTAATCCTTCGCGTTTTGCACGCTTAAAACCAGAAGCTTCAGTCCCTAAAAGTCCAAGGGTTAAAGTTTTTCCTACGAGTGCAATATGATTAGATGTTCATTATTCCTTAAACAAAGTTTGGAAATCTGACCTTTCTGTTTATTGAGGCCTGTTATTCAAATATTGTGAAATCAGATATCAAAAAGAAGTAAATTATTTTGTTTAAGTTGTCCAAGACCTCGGTAGACCCAACGAATGCGGATGAAAGCGCACAGCGCAGGAACACCCCGGGCGTGTTTGGTGGGGGATTTTTAGGTGAGATTCGCAAAGTCACTAGTATCAATGATTCGAAACGAAAGATTTCTGATTTTCGTGCGCGAAGGTGACTTTGGAGATTTACATCCTGATGTATGTCCAGTACTTCATTTCAGGCCGAATTTTTAGGAGATGAGGAGTATATGTTCCAAAGAAAATTGCGCCTACCTGACGGGGTTTCCAATTGGATCGATGTCGCCGGCAGAGTCAACGTCAAAGGTGAAAGCACCACCGATAGTGAAGCACTCGCTTCCTTCATATTACTCTCGCGTTTTCGGGAGTTTACAGCATGCTTTAATTAGGCTCACGGGCTTCTTTATGATTACATAGACGGCACTTCTGTCAATGGAATCGGACGCCTCAGCAAGAACAAGGAAACAGTGGTCTTTCAGCATCCGGTTTTTTCCTTTGCGTCTGTTAAGGTTTAGGTGAGTAAGACAAGTCTCAGTGACAACATTGCGGAATATGGCCCATTCCACATTTACGTATGGAAGATGAACGTAATGACCTTTAATCAAGGCAAGTCTACTGGTGCCCCAGTGAGGGTGGCTGACTGCTTTCTTGCTCCAGAGTTTGCAAACATCGCACATCTAGGGTCAGATCACTTTTATAAGTGTGTTCAGGCGCATGCACAGTCGCCATCTCGTAGGACAGTAGTTTGAACGGAGTCCCACACCAGCAGCTGGCTGCAACAAAAAGTTAGTATACAGGCCCCCTATTTGTCGTTACCAAACGGGCATATCCAAAGCCCAGCTACTGACCCATCGGGGTTTAGATCCAGATTCATTAAGTCAATTCAAACGCTTTTAACACTCGAACTACGGGTTCCAAGTTGTCAGCTGTGGATGGGAATAAGCAGTGTCACCCATCTGTGCGACCAGAGCCCCAATGAACAGCAGAATAGTTCGTATCTTGATCTGCAATCGGGTTGTTAGCCAAGCTGCTGGCTTTCAGGCGCGTCAAGGGTTATGAACCCTATAGCAGTCCTGGTTAAATTTAGCCGCAAACGGATTAGACACTCGGGTGGTCTGACAACCGGTTTTAGTGGGAAATGCATTTGGTACCGTCGTCAAAAGTACAGCTATCAGGATGTGCGCCTTTACGTTTAATACAGCGAGTCGCAGACGGTTTTCGGGATCGTCTTAGTATGTCACATCGTTTTGCGGGATATCTTAATGACAGAGTGGAAAAGTGTGATGTTTTTATTAGGCAAATTTTAAGCCATTGCATAATGAGAGGCCTTTTTGGGCATGATGGGCAAATTTTAATCTTAATGGAACTATATTGCATGGCTGTACCAATTGTCCGCTTCTGGTACTGCTCCTATGCTGCGCGTGGGTTGCCGTAATCCGCAGCGAGAAATTCTGTAATTCTGCTTTCGAGAGGACTTGACTACGATGCGTACTTTGTGTTCTTAAAAAGGAGAAAACCGCAAAGAAGCATGGAATGTACCGTTTTAAGCGTCTAGTCACTACCACGGGCTTCAGTTTACATATCCTAAATCACTGTGCTACACTGTCGCAGACGATGGCTAAGCCTGAGTCGTCTTCAGTCGAAAATAATGGGCTCGAACTGAAGCACACTTTCCAAAGAACTTAACATTGGGGTCTAGGTCGGAGCAGGCATCTCTGACAAGATCGAATAACTAATCGGCTGACCTACTGACCTGGTAATCTGAGTTGCTCGTCTTTAAGGTAACCCCGGACCCCGACGCCTATGGCAGAAGGTAATATCTTCAACAGCGCACGACTGCAACTAAGACAGTGAATGCATTTAATCAAACGGTCATTCAAAATTACTCTATCAAATCCTTACGACAAGCCAACCTGGAGATTCGTCTACTTGGGCAATAGATACTTGTCCACATGCGATAAAATACTTCTCGGGCAGGAGGATTATTCCGCTTAAATCCTAAGAGTGATGGGCTTAGAGATCTCAACTGCTGGTCATTTTGAGGATGCTCCGAAAACCGAGCATAATTATGAATGTGGCCTGCCGCTCGTTGCCTTTGTGCCTTGATGTAATTACGGAACAACAAAGCCCTTCGCAAGGACCGGCTTTCCGCAGAAATCACGAAATGCTGTTTGACAACCTTGGATCTTGTGGCAGCATCCTACTTCACCCCACTCCAGATCCCTTCGAAGTCCCTCGTACGGCAGTATAAAATGCCATCGATTTACAATTTGGTTCGAGTCCACTATAAGAGAATCAGGACCAAGCCTCCGGTGGTTGAAACAGTGAATTCATTGACGTTCCCGTCGTCCGCCGAAGCTACTTTCTTTTGTAATAACGGTTAAACAGCGTCGTGAAACCTGTTTGCGTCGGAATAAGTTCTGTTCCGTGCATTATAGATCATGACTATTCTAATGAGATCAAGGTGCTGACAAGCTCTTTCGCGTACATGCAGAATGCTGCCGCAGACTGGCGCGTATTCAGCTGGTGTTCAGGAAGAATTTTTCCAGAGCAATGATGACTGCGTGGGGTTAAGGAATTGAAGGTATCTGCCTGATTCAACGACGTCGTTAAGGGTGCTTGTCGACAAGAAGGCCGAAAAGGCCGTCACAAGTACACCCTAGAGACTCTCCTCAAACATCTGTAACTCAGTCCGGGGACTTGGATGAATCTCGCTCATGATAAGTAGACCTGGGGTAAAACCGCAAAGACTGCGGCGACCATCTTCGAAGCCAATCAGATGTCCGTTGCTATGGTAGACAGAGCGGCGTGCAGGTCTCCGAAGTCAAAGACCAGCAACTCAAATCTCCAGGCCCTTTCACTAGGTCCACATAGTCAACTGACATTATGCACACGAATAGGCCTCGTCGGACATCGTCGAACCCAATGAAATATCCATATAATAATTTTTCCTCCCGTCTCAAAAAACGCGCCCATCACAATTATCCCAATCCCCACGACAGCTATGACCATCAGCATCCATAGAGCCGGCGAGAACACTTCCGACGTCCTGTCAACCACAACCACCAACGTCCCCTCTATCAGTAATGTTCGTTAAATCCCAACCCGTCTCCATTGCGATAACAATTTCACATCACTTATTAGCCTGGTCGGTCACTTGCGCAGTCATCACAATGGGAGTGGCGGGCCAGCGCATGGGGACGCGATATACATCTGTCGCACGCGCCTAACCAGCTGAAAATGCCCAGGGCATTCACGCACCGCATGAGTTTTTTCCTCCACATGCGCGTCCACGACAGAGGAATTCGTCGCGATGTCAACTTGACAAACCCACTACCCACACCCGAAGCCTCCTCCATCATCAGCATACCAACGGCACCATCACCAGCGTTGGCACCACAACTGACTCAATAACCATAATGGCCATTCCTGTCTCCCTTGCTTAAAAGAAGGCGAAGTCACGATCACTGGGACAGTAGTTTTATTGGCCGGAGTTTCGAACTCGAACTGGAATTCATCATCGGAGACTGCTAGAGTGCAGCAACATGTGAACATTTATGTCGTAATTCCATGCAGGGGAGGGGGGGGGGGGGCTACGTCCGTGGCTAGGTCTGGTTTGTGCCGCCTGTTACACGATGGTCCCCCGGCGTGGTGACGCCGTTTATACTTCGCGACGATATGAGCTGCGCCACCTAGCAGTCTCTGCTAATGAACTCCAGTTCGAGTTCGAAAGCTCAGGCCAATAAAACTACTGTCCCAGTGCTCCTGCCTTCGTCTTCTTTTAAACCTGAACCTGGGATGCGCTTATTCTCTTCCATTCGTGAGTCTCCCATGTCTTTGTCGGTAATAACATACAACCATAACTCCGTCCTGTCTTTGCTGACACCGCACATTTACGACACGCATCGGCTTGGTCGATCACTTGCGAACCAGTCGCAGTGTTAACCGGTGAATCAGTGTCAGAGGCCCCAACAGACATTCGTTGCAATCGCCTCACCTGCCCACACTGCCCAATAACATCCAGTCCTCTCATGAACCTACTCGCCCACATGCGCTCCAGTGATAATCTGCGTCAACACCTGAAGTTCAAATCCTGCTATCACATCCCAACCTACCAGACCCCATGTAAACCTGTGCCACATCACGCGCTGCACTCGTAACACCCAAACTCTCACCAGCGGCGTGTGAACCGACTCACCATCGTCGGTATGACGGATGTTACGACGTATGCCGGAACATGCACACCGCACGTACATGGGAGACCTGTTCTTGGTCTACTCCGGTAAATGAAGTGGAAACCAGGTCGCATGTGACACGCGTAGACAGACTGCCTAACTCTGTCAGTTACTGCACCCAATCCCATCATCAACTAGCTGACAGGCTCTGACAGTCGACTGGTTCATGGGGCTAGGAAAGATGTGGTGTAATCGACATTGGTGAATCTATCCCCATGACACGCCGGCGCATTTCCCGTTATAATAAATCTGGTGCGTTCGAATCTATCTTACCGTGCTAAAAGTCATGGTTTGGACAACTTTTAACTATCGGCATGACTCGGACTTTGCGGTCCGTACCGTGTATTTATGGGTGGGACGGACCTGAGGACCAGAAATCAGTCTCAATGGCTCCCCCTTAATGTGACCTACACAGCACCCTCACACTCAGAGCCGTCCCTGTGAACGCCTGCTATACGTGGCGGGAATCAGGTCGCTTGTGGCACGCGTCGACAGGCTGTCTAGCAATGCCAGCCACTGGACCGAGTCCGTCTCCGACGATCCTGACGCCGTCTTGTCACCGGATCCAAGTGGGCAAATAGGAGAGAGTGTGACAGATGCTGCGCAAGTCTGCTACCACCATAAACTAGCTCGCAAGCAAGTCACCGGTGCTGCATCCACACGGTGAACGTAGTCGTTTGCGGCGTTCGAACCGTCATCAGGCTGCTCATTGTAAGCGGAAATTTCTTCAACTCAAGGACTGATTTTGTTAATCTAGACTAACATTTTTACTATGCATAAGGATAAGGATGTAAATAAGTATTGAGTAAGACAGTGTCACGTGGCCCCTCTAGAACCGGCATGCAGTCAGCAAAACAGAATGAAAGCATACAAGGCAGAGGTACCAGTCAAATGTCTAGGTAGGCGTTTCGCCGAGTATCTGCCGCTGCATGGCGCGCCTGCGGTCCGAGCCTGGAAAAGTCCACTTTAAAGCATTCTGGGGAGATTAGAAAGCTGAAACACACATGACCTCCACCAAGACAGCCTTATGTAGGTGAGACACGCTATGTGCTCAGAAGGTGCCTGACGCCTAGAAGCGTTATTTTTCTTGGAACTACGCTCCCCTTTGTAAGCCAAACTCCCCAATCGCGTGTCCAAAGGACGAATATGCCGTTGGTCAGATAAAAAACCTATGATTTGTGGTCTCTCTACCTGACAACTCAAAGGACTCGCCCACGTGCCGCAAAATTGCGAAAGAAACGTTATCTGAACCCTTATTTCGTTATATTCTACCCTGGCGACTATATGAAAAGGGTAAACTGAGGACATGAATGAGTGTATTAAAGATGCACCCTCGGAACTTCTTCAAGTTTGCGGTCTATGAGGTATAGCATGGATCGGCAACTGTTCAGAGAGTTTTCCACCGACAGGTCACACATGATATTGATCGTTTGAAATTCGGTCAACCTGGAGTACGGGACTGGTTGAACTATTTGTTGCTATCTTTATTAGTAAAAATCAATATAACCTTAACGCCGGCACATAATAATACCTCCCTGTATTTTGTCGATGCATTCAGTTCGCTGCGAATATTCATGGGATCCTTCCTGTAAATTCACGCGGACTTTAGCAATCTAGCCGACAGCATCCCGCTTGGCGTCATATCCTGACTAAACCGAAACTTTCTTCAGACTTTTCGAAAGGATGAAAGCAGAGAGAAGGGGGCCAAGTTACTAAATTATGGTATATTATATTTGTATATGATACATTAATTATAAACATGAAAAAGTACTCAAGCTCAGGTAAAAATTAAGTCTGCCTTTACTGAAAAGCTATATAAATAGCTGCAAAAGGTGGCATTCGTCGTTGCACTGCATTCGGGAGTCGAAATGTTAAGTGCTCGACGGGCCGCCTGTTATACATAGAACAGATAGAGCCTTGTGTGTTACCGTATGGAAGTACACGCGGAGGACAGAGACAGTTCTTGTGGTGTAGACTCAAGGACTGACCTCCACGTAATGAGACAATAAAAGCCAGGCGCAGATGTTCAAGAGATTCCCTCTACTGTAGGGCGAAAGGTGGTGAGCATGAGTAGGACGAATGAAAGGTGATCCATCGCCACACATATTCCTTGCATTAGGAAGCCAGCAGGATGTCAGTATATTCAGTAGCTCTTAAGACTGGAATGAACTAACACCTCTAGACATTCGGGAGTAGACGGATCAAAAAACATGTAAAGGCGACAGAGAGAGAGAGAGAAAGAAAGAGTGAAGGGATGAATGAACGGAAGCGAAGAGAATCCCATGACGTACATAGAGGGGACGGCAACGTAGAGGGGTCGGGACTAGAAAATTATGCATAAGGATATCAGCGAATTCGTGTATTAAGTAGGGTTGTACAAATCAAGAGACATCGGATTAAAAAAATAAGAAAGACTGAACACTCAATGAGGACTTGAGAAGGTTACAGCGAAGGGGTGCCTAGGCGGCTACTTGTGCGATGACGATGTCAGTGGTTGCTGGGTTCAAACAACAAAGACGGAACTTCTTGGCGTCCGTGTTTTGATATTGGTACTAGTGGTAAAAGTTGTCCCGCTAATAGTTTGTCCCTTTTTTCAAAAGCAAGAACCATGAGTTCTGGATCGAGAAGTTGAAAATCTTGGGGAAAAATCACGCGTTGCGGTTGCAATGGTAGTGGCGGCAGTGAAATTCGCACCCCAGCTGGGAAAGCGAAACCTCTGGAAAGACATAGATTCGTGTACGGGCGGTGGTGGCAGCACCAAATTCGGTGGTGTATGCATTAGGACGGGGAAGGTGGAGACGCGATGGGTGGTGAAAATGTGCGTGTAAAACCTCCTCTTTTTCCGCCTAGTTATCTTCGAGGCGAACATACGTTGCAAAAAGGCATGGGCTTCCAATATTCAGCCCAACCAACGGTAGCTGTTTGATGTTTGTTTGTTTGTTCAATGTGTGAAATTGGAAGTCGGCAAGGTTGTATAAAAGAGGTGTCAAACGTCAGTCGAGAGGAAGGTTGGGAAGAAAAGGAGACGGTGGCGAGGAGGAGGAGGAGGAGGAGGAGGAGGAAGAAGAAGAAGAGCAGCAGGAAGAGAAAGATGAGGGAGAAGAAACGCAAGGGGAGGGGAAAGAAGAGTGAAAGGAGAGGAGGGGGAGGAGGAGTGGGGGATGACAACGACGAGTGCCGTAAAGTTTTGCGTAACAGACAAATTATTGTGAGGAAATCAGCGCATACATTAGGGTCAGTACCAAAGTTATCATAAAGAACCTTGCGAAAAAGAAACCTAAAAATTACGCCTGGAATGTTGATATACTTAAAGAAGTTCGACTGAATGACCTCCTGTAGGACTAAAGGAGTGGGTCGCTGTGAAGGTTCAACGCTCAGATATATTTAGACCACTAAGAACTTGCCCCAAAGAAGAAGCCTCCAACATTGGTGACGGTTTCTCATGCGGCCAGCAAAATCCACCCAGTTTTTGAGAGTTCCATAAGTCTTGAAGATCAGGGTTTACACTCTCATCTGCATAGAGGTTGGAGGCCACTGTTTTTGAATTATTCAGGGCAGAATCCATTGATGACCCGTTCACTTTTGCTCCAGTCTGTGGCTGATTCCTGAGACTTAAATATGCATCCGCACCGGATGCTGCTGCTGATCTTTCCATGCTGTCAGGAGCCTGGAATCCTGAGAGTTGACCACCATTGCCTAAAGCAAAGCCCTCTGTTGCAGTAAACACGAGTTTCGCATCCTTCCTGCCAGAAGAGGCTAAACATTTGGTCAGGGAATTGATCGTACTGTTGTTTTCATTGAAAGTGGGTGAGTATGTTCCCGGCAAGTTGGCACAATTAGAACGAAAGTTCGTCAAAACCGCCTCAGAGGGGTTGGTATCCACAAACTGACTATTCTTGAGTTGAAATTCGTTGCGAATCTTCTCAAACTGGGACCATAGTGCGTTGTTTGGTACCATACCAGAACGGCCGCCGATGTTGCCACTGTTTGTGGTAGTGACGGTGGCGTTGCTGCAGCCGTTGAAATGCTTGGCTTCGAAGAAACTGGAGAATCCTCCAGCTACACCCGCAGCCGCAGAGACATCGTGAGGTCGTTCCAGTTGGGTTGGAAAGTTTCCAAAGTAAGTTCGAGTAGCCTCTTGGATCAAGTTAGGCACGCCAGCATACAGTCCTCCGGCGCGACGCAAATCATTGAGACAAGCTGCACGTTCGTTTAACTAGGTGGTAAATAGGTGACGTGTCTCAACTTTAGAAGATAGATGCGACAACAGAAACTTTAAAAATCCTAAGTAACATTGAAAAGTTTGGGTGCCTGCATGCAAGAACCAAAGTATTCTGTTGGCTTCAGCTGAAACAACAATATCTTAGTCGGAAATGACAATTCCTATATGAATAAACTATACAGACCAATCCGATTCTTAGTATCGCTGGCAGTATGTCGATTCAGGACCTGGCAGACTCGATTTTGACTCCATTCTTGCGAAGCAAAACTTCTGAGTGGCCAGAACATTTTCATGATATAATGGCAAGTATGCTTGATTGGTAACAGCACTGGCTAGTTTAACTGACCTCCCCTTAGTGTGTGGCACATCGAAAAGTGAAAATGCAAGAATGAGCTATATTCACTCCCTAACTTTTATGGTCTTTGAAGCGGCTGTGAATAATATCAAATAGGATGCATCTGTGGTGTAACTTTTACATAATTTCCAATCTGCTCATGTCGCAAGGCGAACATAATTGAATAACTGACACAACTTGAATGACGGACATTTCCTTTTGTGCACCTGGGCTTCCGGACCTCTGTGAGAGCTCAGTCTGCAAAACCACAAAGTAATAACAAGTGGTTTGTTGTGTGTCCTTGGTCGATAATAACCCCTAACATCCGGTAGAAAAGTCGCAACGCATGATAGGCTGAAGGCAGACTGGTATACTAAAATTATCCAGTTGCATCCCGAGGTCTAGACTCCAGACGCTTTCGGTAACGGTCCTCGCCATCGCCTCTACATGGGCGAAGTTTGACTGGGTGTTTGCATCCAGGGTGAGGACAACAACTTGAGACATTGGGTTCCCGAATCAAAATTGTATAAAGCGACGTGTAGATCCGCGTCTCCTATTCCCCGTGAGAGGATCCTAATGCTAGTTGGTGCCACCACTCTTCGGTCAAGGAGATATGCGGCTGGCGAACCGTGCGGCGATATAAGTGCAGCTCATTTTTTGTTGCCGAGCATTGGCTCGAGCAAGAGTTTCGGTGACTCAGACAAAGCAAATAATAGTCCCAATGTCCGACTTATCATCTTGTTCTTCTTTATAAGACGAGGACCAGGAACTCGCATTTCGCTCCCATTCGGAAAAAGGATGTCAACCACGGTCAGGCCTGGGGAAAAACTTCCACAAATGCCAGCGAAGCTTTCGAAAGTTTTACAAATAACGTCTGAGTCTCGAAGAGGGCGGTTTTAAAAGCTGTATAGTTTTCCTGCGAGAAAGTCATCGAATACACCCTTAGTGCTAGTTTTATACTTTACTTGCAGAGACTCGAAACACCAAACAGGAGCACCAACGCCTTATTTTGCTGTACGAGAGCTAGCTCCTATCGCCATTGATTGGATATGCCCGCCAATCAAACAGTTCATCAAGTCAGGCGCATCGTCAATTCGGGTGAAAGAATATGGATTCAGAGTAAAGATTATAGGCAGCATGCTTTACCCACACTACTAAATTTTATCCTTAGGTACCAGAATTTCAAATCAAAGTGAACTAAGGGGATATGGCTTCGGAAAGTCGGAGGTTGATGCAGCATAACCCATCCGCAACTCAGAATCCTGAGACTATCATGGTAAATTTTAGCAGACACAACTTAAACCTCCAAAATGACGACCTAAAAATTTTCTAGTTGCCTTCCGCACAAAAAGTCCATCATTGTGTTAGGTGAGGGCAATTGTAGGTTGCACATCAGGAGGATCCTGCGGAGTTCCGTAACTTGCGGCTGACGCAGAGAATCCAGGTTCCCTGTAAATGTCGTTTTGCACATGTGCGTAAAAACCGTCCCCCATGCACTTCACCTGGGGACACTCAGTTAAGATCATTATCCCTCAATATAAAAGGCCAATCCTAGGTAAAACAAAATGGTAGCCAGAACTTCTCTTCGAAACAAAAAGATGAAAAAGACTTGTCTAGACCGACTGATCTGATGTCTCAAAGGTCATGGCAGCTAACGTAGGAAGCTGTTACTGTGGACGCGGACAAAAGACCTAAGATCCCCACCAAAATTTGTAGGCGAATGGAAGCGATGCACCAATCCAACACCAAGGTTAGGGGTTGACATCCGAAATTACTATGCGTTTAAACAACCTGTGGTCAGTTTATCTGTTCCACGGTTCAACTCCGTCGACTGATGGATACCGTGCATGGGTATACGGTTTAGCTGAGAAGAATATGATACAGATTGAAGTCTCCGCCCCGTGAGACAGATAGCAGTGAAAGTCGGTAACTTTCCGTGCTATAACTTATTGGTAGTTTCCTAAGACGAAATCGTTCAAGATCTTGCCTAAGGACTGCTGATATTGTTCGCTGGAGGAGGACGTCGTCCTTCCTCCAGGAGGTTCGTTATCGCCTTGCAAAACGCAAACAGACGATCGTTCGACTTCGGACAGCCGATTTTCACGCGCAAGAATACGAAATGAAATCGTGGCTAGAAAGCAAGGTGGTTCAGAGTTAGCAAGCTTCTGACTCTTTTATTGATCATTTTGAAAGGGAGTTGACTTTTTCAAATTAGATCCCCCCAGTCTTAAGTCATCTCCGGTAGTGAATGTCTCGACCCGCCCTCGGCCCACCTCGCGTCTCCTCAAAAACTCGACTGATGGATCTCTACTTTGTATCACATCCTCATGATTAAAATAAGGAACTGCGTTCGTGTTTTTAGCGTGCTGTGCAATCCCAGTGAAGTGATTACCGAAGATTAACAGGAATTAGAAAACAGGGATAGGGAGTTAGAAAAGATAGGGAATATTACTTTGACTGAGTACTATTCTTCAGCCTATCTAAACTCAGAAAAAAGCCGATCAACCGCTTTCCTACCCTACGCTCTGACCTAACAGGAAAAGGGGATTTTTGGAAAGTGAATACGAAGCAAAGGATGTAGTCTGCACGTGCATACCTAAATAAGCCTACCGAAATCAGGCTCATGTGTGACCTTAACAGGATGACGGATTCGCCTCATATAAGCAAACACCGCTTGCACTCACGACAAAGAATTTTCGTGTTACTTGCGAGGCACCAGCTAATCACACATAAAAAAGGTGCTGTCTGTAAAACTATAACTGGTTGAACCTATCGTGTGGTTGCGTTAATTTCGGTTTAAGATGGCTTATTTTCTCAGAAATCGACAATAATTTCAAACAGCTACCAACATGTAACAGTTTAACTATGCCATGAAAACAGCACAGTTCAGCGCTGACCTGGGCAGTCGATTTTGCTAATGTTGTTAGTTCTGACCACTTACTCTTCCTAGGCGTTTTCTTCAGATGTTTCTTACATTTGGCAAATTTCACAGATTTTCATTAATAACATGATTTTTAATAGGCCAGAGACAGGAATGGAAACTCCAACCCAGCAATACAGGTGACCTTGTGCTTGGGTCCTAACGCTAACCCTAGCTCAAACCTTAGCCCTAACCCCAAACCTAACTCTAATCTCGATCTATGTTCTAGCCCTAAACTCAGCCCTCATCCTAAGCTCAACTCTAAACCTGACCTTAACACTAACCCAAATCTCCCCGTAAATTGACGCAAAATCCCTGGACTAGGAGGTCCCGTTCCCGCGTCCTGTCGTATTCTGTACGAACAGGGATTGGTGAAGTCTTTACTCTCTCTCTCTCTCTCTTTCTCTTTTTTTATTATTGGTACAGATGCGAGTCTGAAACGTCTAGCGAACAAAGTTTTGTTTCATCGATCCACTCTTCCCATTTGCAATCATGGACTTGTTACGCATTATCTGTTAAGATAGATGGCTTTTAAATAATTCTGGCTTGGAGGTAGCAGAAATGCCGATTGTCAAAAAACTAAAAAGGTAGAGGGAACAGTGTTAACTTACTTGTCCCGCTGTGACTGGTGTTTGTCCGATAGCCTCAACAAATTGGGAAGAGTAAGTTGAAGCTTGCAAGTCACAGGGCGAAACAAGACGATGGGGTCTCTTGCTCTGACTTTTTAGCTTTGTCGACCCGAATTTCGTTTGTGCGAAGGTAGCCGCCGTAAAACTTGGTGTGGAAGTAGATTTCTGGATAAAGTTTTGGGCGGTGTTGAAAGTTGGCATATGCGGTCCTTGTTGATAGTCAAAGGGTGTAAATTCGGGTTCTCCATTTCCGTCAAGAGGATTTGCCATGTTCAGCAACATTCGAGTTTGTTTCACTGGAAAATTAAATGGGAAAGATGGCTCGACCTCGGATGTTACAGATTTACTCTGTGCTTCCGAGGCGAACGAATCAAAGAACGTTCCATCGCCCGTCGCATCGGCAGATACGAATGGGTTGACTGCGCCATTACTCACACCACTGTCATTAGTCTCTGAACCCCTCGGAGCAGCATTTTGTATATACGGCTTGACTTCCGACTCGGAGTTGTTGTTCGAGGAGGCACTATCACCAAGAGCCGCATTAAAAATTTGGTTAACATCATTAGCGGCCTTCTGAGTATTAGTAATTGGTTGATTATGATCCCTTAGGGCGAAATCGTAACCATGACTTTGTTGACTTTGCGTGTTGGTGCCGTTCACGATTTCGTCGGGCTCTGTAAGAACGCTGAGAGCGGCCTCAGTGGCCAAATGCGGTTCCGAATCATCAGAAACCTTCTTAATCTCCGGTGGAGGAATCTCCGACATCTTTTCACTGTTTGGTACTGCCAAATTGCCGTTGCTTCTGGAGGACACTGAATAAAGCACTTGGTACTTCGTCTTTGGCCAGGACCCTGAGGAAGCATTGGAAGATATGGAAGATGCCGATGAACATCCCGAAGAAGATAAGCTAGTTGAGTTGAAGCCACCAGCTACCCAGGCATTGGTCGAGTTTAGCATTGAAGAGCAGTCGCTTGGTGGTATAGAGCCAAACTGACAAGCCACATAACCCGGATCAATGGAAATAACCAGCCCGGTTGGAAGACATGCTTGAATTTCACTCCAATCCAGACCACTAGCAGCAGCAGCCTCAGCCAGCAGAAAGTCGGCCTGTGGACCGCAAGTGTGAAGACATCTCTGCGAGGCTTCCTGAGCAGGAGCTTCGGTAAACCAGTGTGGTTGTAGTTTTCGGAAGAGACCCCTTTCTAGCTCCTCACCGAAATTATCTACTCGACGCCGAGGCAACTTTGTGTAGAGGTGAGAAAGTATGTAATTTACTGCCACTGAAACTTCGACGTACATTGGGAGAAGTGCTCTGTTTGGAAGTGTACGTGTGTGGCCAACAACCTGTTCCCACACAATATGCTAAAAATTAAAATAAAAAGAATTTACAAAATTGGCACACAAGTCCTTACGTCAACAGCTGATTCCTTAACTGTCCGCCCGCCGTCAAGGCTATTAAATGATAATATACTCGTCAGCGACAAACAGGGCGTTGGACTATCGATCAACTTCAAAACGATCGATCGGACTTCAAATGAAGGTGTGAGACAACTTCTACTGTGTGACCTGTTTGTACAAAACAATTTTCAAGGCTGTGGTAATGTAAGGCCGGAAAAAAAGTGGGCAAGTTAAATTTTGGGCGTTACCTTACCCAGATCCAGTGGGCTTTCGAAAGCACTCAGCTGTTGGATATTCAAGCGAGCCAAATGCTTTCTCCTGCCGCGCTTCGGTGTAACCTGCGTCAGCTTTCAGGGATGTATGGAGCGATGACCTGGGTTGTTCGCATCCATCGTGTCCGCCTACGCATTCACGGAATGGTAGGAGCGCTAGACAGGTCAGATTTGGTAGGACAGCCGCGCGCTTGCCAAAGGCGAAGGGAGCGGGGCAACACGCCCAGCCAGTAGACGCAAAGTAGGCGTACAAACAGGCCCGTGTCCGGGCGAGGCGAGCGTTTGCGTCATGACCGAACACTAACAGCAACTATTTCATTAGCTATTTTTTTAACAGGCTAAAAGTTAGGGTCATTCGTCTCGCTTGGACGCACAAGCAATAGGGTTGAAATAGAAACACTGGCGTCGATCGAAATATTCCCTGGACATCTCTCGACTGACTCTATCAACTGACGGCGTGCACTGAAAATAGCATAATCTGTGTAGCCGTGCCAATCCGCCTAAGGAACGTGGATGAGTGGGAACGAGACCAAATTGCTTTTTAATATATTGCTGAGGCAAAAATTACCCGTTGGAATTCGCGCTAGTCGAAATGCGAATAAGTGTATTTGGCATATTTTGGGCTTTGTACCTAGTTTAACGATGTAAGTCAGACTATAAAACCTGTGGTCTTGTTAAAACCATAGGCCAGCTACCCTGGCCCGATGATAATGTTATTACGGGTCAATTGATGGTCAAGGCATCAAGGAAATATGAACTGCACGCAAATGTTCATTCAACCGTTCCAACCGGTTCTACATGATGTGCTCCTTACTTTTTGAATGAAAAACCAGAATTCACAGCCATGCCCAGTGGAAACTCATGTAAGAGGGCATAGGCTGGAAACTTACAAATTACAAAAGAGTCGGCTTTTTCATTTGCTGATTCACAAGAGTACAGTAGCTTCTGAAACACTAAAATTAAGACGATTTAAGTACACGTTTCTTTCAAAATTTACATATCATTTCACAAGAGTGGATAATTAAACACGTGAATACCGGACGCACGAAATGATAAAAACCCTTCTTTGTGTTTTTGTTTCACGTGTATAAAATGCGCCCACCTTCGATCGTCTTGACTTTTTCATGTCCTGGGAACGCAGTGAGTGTGGAAAGATAGAGCGGGGTGGAAGTAGCGCCAATTGGCTTCAGTAAAAACCAATGCGCAAGTCGCGGCCGCTCCCACCTAGCGAAACAATAGTGGACATCGTCTCCCGAGACTGTCGAACTTTCATTTAGTGTGGTTGTGGATCATGCCTGACCTGACCTGCAGCAGATGTGGGTAGACCGAGAAAACCATTCCTAGCTGGTGACGAAGACCGAACACGGGGGGAGGGGGGTAGGGAAGGGGGCTGGTAACTACCACCATTTATGGATGGTCTGTGTCGAGACAGGTCTCAGCGTGACGCTCTCTTTGCGTTGGAACTCTCAGTCTACGGATTGTAGTTCAGATTGATCGGGGTACGCCATTCTCATGTGACTTGCGATATTCTCGATTTCGATCGAGAGAAGGTGAGCCGGTATTGAACTTAAATGTGCTGGCATGGGATTTGGCTATCGCTGGTTGGTCCTGACAAGTAAGCCAGAAATGACAATATTGCTGTACCTTGTTTTAGGAACACCTCTCATCTATTTTTTGTTTGCTTAAATACACGTTTCACTCACCTTATTTCCCTTGTGGGTCTTCACTTCATTTTTGATGAAATATTTATGACTGCTACCGTATTAAAAGTATCCTACCGGACTTTTATTCGGCTATTCTCGTTTTCTTCATTCGGGGCTGGTTAGAAAATGGCCTTTTTGGTCCACTAACGGCTACTCAAACCGTTCTTAAGAGCAAAGCTCTGATCACTGTCCCTTCATTGTTCTCTATCTCGTTCATCATCTTAAAAATCATGATTATGGTCCTTCAAAACTCATAACACCCTTGAAATAGCTTTCTTACTTACATTCAACCAGACTTATGTTTATGCGATCACAGTTTGTGGCAAAACATCCTTCCCGAAATGCCCGAAATATGAATGTGAAAACACTTTTTGAGTCATCTTGTTTCAAAGTGAAGCTAGAATGCATCACCCTTCTGAGAAGCAAAAAGGAAGTTAACATGGAATCTCTTCTATCGCATCCACAGGACATCTGGTACAATGCTAATAGTGGAAGTCGTGAGACCCTTGGTGACGTTCATACTTATCGACCAGGGGTTGCATTGTCATTCGGTCATAGAGGTAGACCGATTCACTGGACTTTGTGCTCTCCAGGTGACGAACAAGGTGAGCAATACAATCAGCATGTCCAACCAGCATTTCACGAGCAAATTCCTGCACCGGAATGGTTTCACGTTCGTTCGCAAATTTAAGAAGACTCTTGAACTGCTGTTCGACACAGCGTTCCATGTCCAGCGACATCTGCAGGAGCGTGGTGATGGAGGTGTCCTCCGGCAGGGGGAACTGGTACATGGGTTTCATCTCGGTCAGGCGAAGTCTGCCTCCGCAGGTTGTCAGACGATCAATCAGCTTTCCTTTGGCTTCTCGGGTCCAAATGCTGCAGACGTGGAAGTAGTTGGCGAAACCGTCGAAGGCGGTATTCTGGCTCTTGCAGAAGGCCGAAAATCCTACGAATGTCTGCTCAACGGCGAACAGCATATTGACCGTATCACTAAACATAGTTTCACACTCTCGAACGCAACTGGTCTCCATTGTTTGCAGTTTGCACAAGCAACGCTGAAGTGGGAAGCTTTATAGGCGTCGGTCGTGCCGAAGTTTGGGATCATGTGTTCATTTCAGCACAAGCTCCTCCGATTCAGCAGACAGTGCAATAAATCTATAATGGGCTGTTGACAAATCGACTAACAGTCGCGTGATGCTCTTATGAAATTCGACAGCCGCAAAAGAGGGAACATAACCAAAAGAAGAACCGGTGCTTATGATTACGTCCGTTCTTCAGAGATCTGACTGACTATGAGTGTTCAAACCCGCTTATTAAGTAGAACCGATAGAAGGGAGGAAAAAGCTCTCCGAATGTCAGGATACAACAATGTCAGCTGTTGAGTATGATGTGAATGTCCTCTTCGGGAATATCCTATCGAGAATAAAGGATTCATAGAAATAGATCGTGGAGTGTCCTACATCGTAGTCTTATCAGTTTCGAGTGTCGTCAGGACCTTTCTGAAAAAGTAAGGACAGCTTCTGCTGGTGGTGACGGTAGTGAGATGAGAGCTGGGTTGAGTGCATTCACATTGCATTGGACACGCAGATGACCACCGAGACCGTTCCATGCCCAGAATGTCTGCTGAAAATGTTAGAGACTGAACGCTTGTGTCGTTAGTTAATGACACTGGAGTCTTTCGGGTCTATTTTTCCGCATGGCAGCAGGTATTCGGTGCGCTACGCCTGCTGATAATGAGCGGTGCCCATTAAGACCTCAGGACTGATTTGCAGGTGCTTTATAGAGGTCCTTAGGGTGTCCTCGTAACGATGCTTTTCTTCGCCTTATCTGTGAGCACACGTGGCAACGTCGTCGTTGAATGGCCGATTGAACAGGCGCTCTTCACCCATCATCATATGGTGGTGATTCCATCGCAGTTGCATTTGCCTCAGCATGACGCGGGCTCTTAGGACGACGGTTACTTCCGAGGACGTAGTGTGCGACACCCTTTCCTGTCATTTCAACTTCAGTATTCTACGGTGACAGCCAAAGTGAAAATGGTCGAGCGTTCCTGATTGGCCTACATAGACAGTTCACGTGCCAGCCCCATACAAGAGGGTTGCCCTTATAGCGGCCTGACGCATCTTAATTCTCGTGTGTATATGAGAGCCGGAAAAATTAAAAGCTAAATGCTGCGGCCAACCGAACGCCTGGCCGATTTAGGAGATCTGGCTTCCGATTTCGTCGTCGATCTTGATGTTTCTTGAAAGCGCCCACCAAAGGTATGCGAACCTGTCCATTGCTGTGAGTTGAATTTCGCTGGTCTTGATACGAGGGTCCGCGTAGGCAGCATTTTGTACCGGTTGATGAATGATCAGGGACTTCTCTGTACTGATGGTCAGGTCAATGTTGGAACAGCCGGGGGTGAAGAAGTCCACACTCTGCTGCATATTCCTTTCCGTTGTTATGCTTAGCGCGCAGTTATTCACGAACGATGGCCTGGAATACCCTCGAAGATGACTGTATGCGATGGATGCTGAGCAGTTGCCTGTCGGTCAGATAGTCTATGTCAAGCACCGATCAATCCTCACTGTAGGCATCCATCAACATATCCGAGAGCACTAACCTGTATAGGGTGGGAGCAAGTACAGAGCCCAGCTCTACTCCATTTGTCACCGCAAAATCTTCAGAGGCTGCCCCATTGTCGGTGACGTGTGCCATCATGCCAGCGTACAGCTGTCTTTCCACCCGTGCCGACCACTCCGGACATCCGAGATTCAGCATAATCCGACAGAGTCCATTGCGATTTGTTATGCTTAAGGCCTTTGTCGGATCGATGAATGTGGTGTAGAGGCTGACACTCATTTTTGGACACCCTCCCTTCGGTAAGCAGGTTGTGAAGATGATATTCGTGGTTCCCCGTGGTTTTTGGTGTCGGCACTGTGTTTCCGGAAGATATCCCTGCTCTATACGCGTGCCCAGACTACTGAGTAGGATACAGGCGAGGATTTTTCCTACAGTGTCGAACAGGGGTATGCCTTGATAGTTATCACAGTTCCCGGTTGCCCCTGCAATTGTGCAAGATAGTGGCAACCTTGAAGTTTCGATGTATGTGTTTTTACAGTCATATCTCATAGAACATTAGAGAAAGTGCTCACGAGTTGTCGACCGCCAAAGATCATGTCGTTGGTCCTGAAATTCCCTTGAAATCCACATTGACTTTCAAGGAGAATTCCCTGCGCCAGGTTACGGTTTTGGCAGCTGGATTGGAAGCGGGCGAAAGTTTACCTTGTGATGTTGAGAATAGAGATGGGTATTATTAATCACCGTAGCTAATGCTATAACAACGGACTTCTTTCAACAAATACATGCGCAAAACTAGATTTGATCTGGGCGAACATAGCGTATCTGAAATAGCTCCTCTGGAGCAGACTGAATGATGACAGAATTACCCATGCTGCCAGATATCCATCTTGTCCAACCGCATCTCGAGAAAAATGAAAGAAGCAACTGGGTCACAATTCAAAACGCAATCTATATGACCGTCAGGAAAGTTACTTAGCTCATCTGCCAAAAAATTGAGAACCAATTCGATGCGAGAACAATGACCCGATTAAGTATTTGCAATCCGAAGATAAGAAACAACCAGAACCCCCTCGAACAGGGCCGCTTTCATTGTAAACTGTCAGCAACTGTCACAGAAAGGTTGGCGGGAGCAAAACAAATGTTTAGACTTTCAGTCAGGGGAAATTCAGACACATGCTAGCAGCGGCTATCTGTGGCCTCCAACCTCAAAGCATTTGAAGTCGTCTTTTGCCAATCTGCGTGAAGATGATCAAGCGACTTTCGCATGTTTGAGCAAACCTTGGCCCTGACCCTACCTCGACCGTGTAGTATGCAGTGGAAGCTGACAGGCAGTATCGCAGATGAGATCTACACGGAAGTCGATGGGTGTGGTTGCTCTTTACTTCCGCAGAACTAACCTTCGACTTCAGTAACTATAGAGGCAAGGACGAAGCATCCGTGAATTCAGGGACGTCACCAACGAACATTTCGAAAAATGTGCAAAAAAACGACAAAACCGTAACAACCGCTGAGAACTCGACCTATTCAGTACAAGCGGGAGAATGTTCACAAGCATTCTTCCTACTCGTCTAACTTTACACCTTGAAAAAGGACTTATATCACAGATGTGGTATGGATTTCGTAGACACTGTGGACCCAATGGCACGATCATTCGCGTCTCACGATTTGGAAGTAACGCTGGTATCGTAAAACGGAATGGTCTCTGGAAGATAATGAACATTGTTAAATATCCGCCATAAGCCACCAGGCAAGTCCACGTTATCGACACCGAATTGGTCGTAAGTTCCTTCGTCGTGACAAATGGAGTAAAGCGGGATCGCGTAATGCCCCTTCTCATATCTAAGTGTGAGTGAATGTTTGTCGAAATGCTGAGCCCGATGTTAACATCGCCTACCGAAAAGGCGGGAAACTATTAAATATTGTAAAAACGCACGCCTCTACAAAAGTCTAAAGTAACAATGTCCGCAGACTTCTGTTTACAGATGAAAGTACATCCAAAGCTTCCGACAGAAACAGATACGAAGAGGGGACTGAATATCTTTTTCTCCGAAACCACAAACTACGAACATAGCAGTCTTCCTGTATCAATGGACGTCGACTTCACAATAAACTGTATCCATCTCTACTTGGAGCGGCTGTCAACACGGCACAGCCCAACTTCCTTCCGCAGTACTTGAACTCGTTTGCGCCTCAGCATCAACGTCATTCACTTTTGTTGTGAGCGCCATCCAACAAGGGCGTCTCACGGCAGCACCGGAGTCCCGATCTGTCAGATGCGCCAGTCCGACACTCAGCGCGATCTCAGGCCACTCAACCGACCGTTTCAAACACGCGCTTTTAGACCAACATAAGCAAACCACAAGCCCACACGCTGTAACAATAGCCGACTGCGTAAACTCAGCCATTCTCGTTCGCGCATATGATTTAGCGCCGTTAGGAAGCTCGTTGGCGGTGGCACTACCGCTTAAAACAGCAGTTCAAGGCTCTGCACACAATAAATTCCATCTTCTATTGCAACCGAAGATTTGACTCAATAATCGTGTTGATTACGCTACGTTTACTGCTTTAGCCAATACACTGTCGACTGTAATCGTCTCGTTTATGCGGGCACCAAAGATCATCGTAATCTGCAACAAAGTCGCAGCCCGATACTTTGAAACTAGAGAAGCCTTTGGAAGGCTAAATTCTTCAGTAAGGGATCGGCACGGCATCCGCCCAGATGCTGAGTTCAAGATGCACGATGCGTCGCACTGAAAACGGCTCTCAGTTGCTCAGAAAGTGAATTGTCCATCAACGCTGGGTGAAAACGGATATTCCGGAGTCTGAAGAAATTCGATGGATTGCAGTAATCATGGAAACGGGACGTGCCATGTTAGACCACAATTTCATGCAAATTCTTGAGCTTGACGCCGTCCGCTTCAACGAAATAGCCGCATAATGCTCACGCCTGTGATTATTCCAAATCCAGAAATTATATATGCAAAGTGTATTCTTGAACATAATATTTGATTCCCACGTTGTTTCGTGGGATTTGTTAGACCACATTATGACTGTACGCAGTAGAACCTGATATTAACTATCTGATGGGTTTCCTTTAGTAAGTCAAGGACCTCCCGAAACTATACAAATCTTTAATAGCCACGTTGCGTCTACCATATTTTTTCTGAGTAGTCCAGGTGCACATTCGACAGTGTACCATGGGTTCGGTAGAACCAGATTCTGTTCGAACAGGCCAATTCCCCCTACAACTGATGTGGAAGACAGACCTTTGACACATTTACTCGTTAACTCCCCTGTGTGCCTTTTAAACACTTTCAAGCCATAAAAGAAAATCCGACCCGGCGTAATTTGCCCAAATAGTACAGCTGAAAAAGGCCCTACCTCATGGTCAGATGGAGAAGATATAATAAAAGTAAGGTCTTACTTAAAAAGACAGAAGGTGGATATGCCAAACGTTGCTAAATGTTTATCGCAACTTCATAGAATTTAAAATAAAGTTTTTTTTGTTTTTAATGGAGTTTTGTGGTACCATTTAACAATTGGGGTCCGAGCGCTATGATTAGCCATTGGAGCTATGTTCTCTGTGTCCACAATGTACCCCCTCCTTACGTGCAAGGTGTTCATGATTCCTTTTATCGTCAGCAAGTGGTTGACTATGTGAAAGGAGTCCTACTTCCTTTACCGTCTACTGCACTATGGGCATGGTTAAAATACCCCATTTACTGTACCAATTAAGCTAAACAAGGTTGTTTCTGTGATGTCTGTAACAATAATCCTGAGCGGGTAAAAAATATCGCATCAACCTAGGTATTTTTTGTTCTTGTGAACTGTGGCAACCCCTACCTGACCTCGCTGCTCCTGGCTTCTTAGTGAACAGTATTCTTAAGAGTACAGTCGATTAGTTGGACAACGTCAAAACGGGAGATAAGTTACACACACAAACACCAAGTCATCAGAAAACTGTCACTGTGCGCAAGAATTCCCATACTTATTCATCCGTTTCCTCAAATTTCGGCTTTAGGGTGAGATGGTCATAGAGGTAGGCCGAATGACTGTTCTCTAGACTCCCAATGTGCTCTTGCACATGTTGAATTGACGCATTCAGCTGGTCAAGGAGGTTTTCTTGAAGGAACTCCATGCTGACAACATCCTCATTCTGTTGTGCTACTCTGTACGTCTCATTCAGTTGTGTCTGCATCATTCGTTTGGCGGTGTGAATCCACTCTAATAGACGCAAGGCATCAGTCTCTTCAGTGGCTGGAAGTTCTGGAGCTGGAATATCTTCAGAGAAATGGAAGATTCCTCCTCTCTTAACCTGAAACTCGATCATCAGGCTGGCCTTCGAACGGACTCGGGCAGCACACCGACTGGCGTATTTGTGAAAACTGTCTAGACCCAAATGAGCAAACCGGCTGGCGATAGCTACCATCGACTGTTCAGTGGCGAGAAAGAGACTAGCACTCTCGTTGAACTTCTTCACACATTCTTCAGAAAAGTTCACACGACTGGACTCCATGTCCTCTTAGCAGCCGGTCTGAAGAAGGCTAGAAGATCTACAGTCCGAAAACTTAAATGTCGTCTGCATAAGCATGTGAGTGGTCAAGTGATCATTTGTGTCAGGTTGCGATAGTGTCGCTGCGCAGTAATCCTTATCTGTCGTTCATCGCTACGCCACCGCGCCTCTTCAGTGCGTTACGCAACGAGACAATGGACTTTTATTTATTTATGCAGTCGAGTCCTCAGAATTGCCTATGAAATAGTTCAGAATAAGCCCTTTTGGGGAGAATCCCCTTCCAGAACGTGGTTTATCTCATATCGTGGTGTGCTATCTTATATATTCCCTTTAGAGGGACTTCAGTCGAAAAGTAACTCACAGGAAACGTCCTTCGAATAACCCGTCAACAGCCCTCGTGTTCAGAAGACAAGGTGCTTGGAACGTTAAAAATACTTGTTTACAACTTCCTTTAATTTATTTCAATAGGAAACTTTCCACATATACATTTTAGTATTTTCCTTGCCAAGGAAACCTGCCAAATTTAGTGGGCACGAAATCACCCATTTTGAGACAACACCAGATAAAAGAAATCAACCAGCACACGAGGCTTTATAAAGAGTCGTTAGTAAGAAGCGTTATTGTTTAAAAACTTATAATTTTCCGCCAGTACATTTTTAAATTCTAGTTTCAGGCTTTGAAAATTTAGCCCGCGAAGACTTGTGGAAGAAAAATTCAGGGAGGAACAATGCAAAAATCTGTGAATCTGAAAAATAAGTATAAAAATTGTCAAGCAAGAAGTTTATTTAGTGTTTAAGTTGTGAAATGACTTGTGAACCAATCAGCATAAGTGAAATAGGTCCATGCTGATGAGACCCACTGGCGTTCACTTTCCGCATAATGCTACACCGCAAAACATCCTTGCGTTGCAACGCGGATTTGAATTGTCCTTGAATCATGATGAAACTTAAACAAATCAAAACTGCGTCAAAAACACCCGAAACTGGGCAAGGTCAGCTGGGTGCGTCTGGCTGTTTAGTTTGTACCTGTTCTGGGAGGATGGTAAATTATGCCAGGTTCTGCAAACCTGAGGCTGGGTAATTCTGGCCGACAAGGACTAATAAACCCGAAATGGTCTTCCCGGTCTCAGTCGGCTTTTTGGTATCGCCATATATATATATATATATATGCGTAAAGATTCGAGGTCCAGATATCGTATCGTTTTCATCATCTCTCGGAGGAGACAAAGGAGAAGAGAGGGCGAATTCATGGACCCGAGTGTAATTGTGCTGACGATTCAGGAACCGCCTAGCTCCCCCATGATGCTCGTCGTCGTCTTCGTCGTCATCATCATCATGTGGCCTGATTGCATTCACCACCCTGATTCATTGGTTTACTAGGTCTCAAGATGGATGGCACTGTCAAGTAGTATTGTAGCAGCCGCTCCAGCCCCCCTTTTCTCCGGCTCCGTTTTGTCGATCGGTGGCCGCGACAAGCACTGACAGGCCGCTGACACACGACCACCCCCGCCGGCTAGAACTGGGGCACCTCCTGTCCAGCTGCAGTGAGCCCCGGCTGCCCTCACAAACTAGTATCACCTAACGCGCGTCGATCGCTTTGGCTTGATTCCCGTGAGGTCTTGTGAGTATGCGCTCTCCATTCCTCCCTTAATTTGTCCAATCACACGACCACCACTCAGACAGTCATGCCCCCCTTCCTGCTGACCCAGACACGCACGCCCGCGAACACACACACCGCGACTGACGCTCTCCGTGAACGGACGCTTTTCTCTGTTGCAAGCAAACCGCCAACTTACGGCAACCTGCCCTGTGTGCAGAATAAAGTAGTCCTCACAGCTCCCTGACTTCTGACAGTAGACGAAACGAACTTATTGTGCGTGGTTTAAGTTGATCTCTCATCCTTGACCGCCACAGTATCTAAAACAAAACTTATATCATGTGGTGTACAGCTGGGCAGAGTAAAGTCCCACGAGTTAAGGCTGCTAGTGTGTTGTGACAGTTGCGATCGCGTTAGATTTGTAATGGGGAGGAATTCGCCGAGTTGCCTTGAGAAATGGCACCTCAGTATTGGACTCGATATCCCAAGGCCTGTTCGAGCCTGTAGGCTGACCGTTGACGAGGTTGGACGCCCAAGTTGATGCGGTGCAAAACCTCTGCCTGGTACGGGCCACCTGCATGTACGCTACTAAGTGAGGGCTCATTCAGGCCCAGCAGAACCCGAATAACGCACTCCATTGGCTAATTCTGTTCATTTTTGGTCTAGAGCGAGACCGTCACAGCCCGTTCTGAGATAATGCGTTCAACTAACTGACACCTTAGAAGTCATGGCTTGGAATGTTAGCATTTATACAGAGTTAAAATACTGTAATGAAATGCGCCCTAATTAATGCCCTTTTTGCTGAAATGCTGCCTAAGACGACCGGTCACAGAACATATAGCTCATTTGCAGAATGGAGCCGACACGTGAGCGACACATTTTTACTTCGTCTTGCCTCATTCTCATTTCCCAGGACTCCTTTTTGCCTCTGGGAAAGACTGAAAAAGTAAGGAGAGGGCTATGCCAAAACCGTCTAAGTCGCCCTCAATAGAATGGAATTAACCTGCATACCAGTCTCTTCGGGGAAAACGAAGGGTGAACTACTGTGCTGGGCCTCTAAACTTCATATTAATGGCTGCATGACAATAAACGCTCATTGAACGGTAGTGCGTGCTGAACACATGCCCCCGATTCGTTCTTCAATTATTAGTCGTGACCCACTTGAGGTGTGCAGAGGTGTGCTTCGATTCCATGAAAATAAAGACAATGCTCTGATTAGGAAATCTCTCGAGTCCTTAAAATCTTCTTTCTATCTCCCAGACTGTTCTACTCGAGTTCAGTCGGTTAGTAACAAACTGATCCGATGACGCGTTTTCTTAATGAAGACCTCGACTTTGCACCTGTAATTCTCACCACCTAAGAGGATAATTTGGATTGGCGACTAAAACGCCCTTAAGACACAAGTCCTTTAATGTTCTGCTAGTCATTTCCTTCCCATCCGGTTCCTAGAACAACCTGTAATATTGGTCAGTCACCTGGGTGTGGCTCTCACCGACCTATCCTGATTGTAGAGCGGAAATATCCGTTTTCTTCCTGCCGGCGGGATAGCCCCGTGAGTACTACTCCAGTGTTTAAATCCCCTTGATCCCAAGCCGACACTTGTCGAGCCCAATACCTCAAGTGTATAAAGTTCTTTCTAAGCGCTTCACCGTCCTCTGGACCCTTATTCTGGTGTGTCGGCACCTGTTCATGGGACACCACTGGCTGCTGACGACCAGTACGTCAGAGACGGCCATTTCCATATGCCGGATTTTTGTCGGTAGGACTTCTCACTAACCGGCCATTTTATCCGCCACAAACCACTCAGACGCTCGGAGGCAGGGATTCGGGATGACATCAATTACAAACGGAAGCCCATGACCACTGACGGAGTTACAACTGGGATTCAGGACCACATCTGGGGTCTTTTGGAACTGGCTCTAACTCTGCACCCTATAGGCAGGGGTAATGTGTGATACAGCGGGCGTGTTTAACAAAATTAAAATGTTTTCCTGATGATGTTTTACCTTATTCTTAGTTCGACGGCTACAGGTTAAGAATTCAGGCCCCTTAGGACGCGTTTGAACAGCATGCATACAAAGGGACCACCTATGCTCTATTTACACTTGATGGGGGGTCGAGTTGTATGGGAGGTGGAGGTTCAAGGAAGTGTAATACTCTTGATGGGTTGATGTCGAATGGTGCGGGGTGACCACTTTACAATGATCTCACCTTGCACCCAGCTCTCAAATGTGGCTCCAGGTAGCTGTGCTCACGGTATCGGCCGCACTCCAGTAAGCGCTTTGGTACGCGAATGAAACCAGGTGAAGATGACTGCTGTTTATCCCAAAGGCCGGCGAACTGACGCATAAGGTCTCAGTCGCTGGTGGGAAGGGAGTCAGCTCTGTGCCGACATGCGTATCTCGATCGCTTTGTGCAAGGTAAGCATAGATCTTATTCATTATAATCTTATTTACTCTCAAATCGCTACTGTTGGTCGCGATTGGTCCTGTGTGACGAAAGACTTATCGGTCAACGGGAAGAAATGAATGTGATGCGATCCTAGGAGTGAACACTGCAGAGCCATTTAGGCTTGAATTTAATTTTTACCTCTGATCTAAGGACTTTTCAAACGAGTTACCGTTTTGTGCTTAAAGACAGCTTCGAACTCAGATTCTTTCCGACCCACATTAGGGCCATATTCATTCCTTCAGAGCTGACCGATACAAACCAAATTATGGAGGTAGAAATACTTCCTCTTTCTAGATCGCGTGTCCTTGCAAGAAGTTCCTTCAGGAAACAAGCCAGAGGACATCGACATGTAAGAGAAGGTGAACTCTGAAAGTGAGAAATTAAGGGGCTTGTTTCCAGTGACTATGTCTGATCACAAGACAGTCTCGCAACACCTCCAGTGTTAACTGAAGTTGGTTGACTGTATAACTGCAGTTAAAAAGTCGTGATTATGTGAGCAAATAGACCAAGTACGAATTTTCAACAGTTCGCAGCACGCGCAGATATGCCGCCAGTAGAAGCGAAGGTACGTCCGTCCTGGCGTAAAGAAGAACAAAAGGCCTTCTCAAGAAATATGGTCGTATTGTCTTGATGTTTCAAAAGTAGGCAAGTTTTCAATTATTGAGCTAAGTGTTGTGCTGGGACTCAGTATTTAAGAGGGGCGACGGTCGCACTGTAGTCTCTGCGGCTGTAGAGGGCGTCCTAGGGACGTCTGGCTGATCTGTCGAAGTCTGCTGTTTGGGCGTTGGTGGACATCGCCCATGTTTTTAATCAGTCATGGCTACCGTTCGACGTTCGCTAGTGTTGTTTGCCTTGCGTAATGCAACACGGTAGGCGAATGATGTTCACGTTCCTCCAGGACTGCCATATTTGACCATGAAAACATTGCAGAATTTTGAATTCTTTAACGGCAGACT